CAATCCCACACACTGCTCCCCTCCCATTCAACCCTCACTGGATTCGCAGCTGCCGAAAACACATATCCCCCTTGTTCGGCACATTCTGATCTGGACGGAGAATATCCCATTTTCCGCTCGCCACGTACCATGTAAGGCAGGTCGCGGATAACCATAAATCCTCGCTCCGGAACCAGCGGACGAATACGGAAGCCCGAATGGCCTCAGCGTTCGGAGGATTGCCATCTTGACGAAAAACCTTGCTCTCCGCCTGAGCATATCGTGTAGACAGGGGAGGGGTTAGAGAAGGTCGACCACACAATGGTATTGGAAGGCGGAACTTGGCGTTCAATTTCGAAACCTGACCAACGACGTTTCGAGAACAGGGATTTGTGAGAGAGATTCGGTCTCAGTCGAGGAGGGTTGTATCGCGGCATTGGGAAGGAGGGCGCTGAAAAGGGCAATGATTCGCCGGCACTGAGCTCTGAGTTGGCATTTTTTCGAGTGTGGTTGTGGTCAGAAGTGCGGGCAACAACTTGGCACGATTGTGCTGATTCCGAAAGTTCCAAGTCCACGTCGAGCTGAGGATTTCTGAATGCCATGTGGCCGGTGTAATGAAACTACAAAGTGCACGATGCTTCGTAAATCCAGAAAAGTCGGTTTGATGATAATCCTACAATTGTAGAGAAACTAATACCCTCTTCTTTATTTGATCACCGAATGCAGCATCTTAGATCTTTACGAACCTGTGTGTAATCTTAATTGTTCCCGCTGGGAGCCATCTTATCACCGAAAGAAACGTATAATGGACGTTTTAAGACGATTCAACTCCGCCATACTTCGTACCTTGCAGAAAAAAAAGTCCACGAGATTGAGAAAAATATCTGAGGGGGCAGTATCATTGCGTCAGTCATGGAACCCCCGCCTCCCCACTCTCTTTTACACACACACACACACACACCGAATCCAAGGTGTCTTCGACCCTTTCTCACGATATTATTCGTGTATTTCAGTTTGAATATTGCATCGTCTCTTCGTGGATTGCTAAACCTGAGCTGTGGTCGAGGAAATAAGAAGAAGAAACATCGAGATAAAGTTGAGCATACAATTGTATGACCTCTCAAACGTAACCTCGGTGCTTCCTCGAATAGTCTCTCCCCGGATTTAGAACATACCCAGAACATCCAGAAGTATCTCCTCGACCTGGAACTGCCAAAATACCAGGGACAAAAGAACTCCTGCCGTTTGACACTAATCCTTTTTCCCCTCTTCCTCTTCCTCTTCCTCTTCCTCTTCCTCTCACGACCCGGTTTGGCCGGAACGGTTTCCACGCCGCCGCCTCAACCCGCCCAACGCATCGTATAAACTGAAGTTTCGGAAGCCACGGAGCCACTACCACTTGGGTTCTCCGGGTTTTGCTAAGTGTGCACGAGTAACGAACACCATCAAGGATCTCAGCCGGTTCTTGGTCCCAAATCCCCCACGGAAAGGAATACTCGAGAACAAACATCGATTGAGCTAACGCCCGTCACGGCCGTAGTAAAGCCGAATTGACGAACCTGAAATCAGTGCTAAACTAACCCTGACACTTGTAGGATTGAAGGGATCGTGAAACTAAAGTCAACCGTGTATTATGACCAGGGCTTCATAAAACCCAATCCCCGCTGCCGTCGTGGGGGGACGAGGCTCCATGATCCATTGTTACCAAGACGTCGAAAGGTGAAATCTTGGCCCTTGCATTTCCCTCTTTTTTTTGTTCCTCTCCCCCGGGCTTGGCACTTTTTCAATGGTTCGTCCACTCTTCCTTGTTTGTGACATCTGACGTGTCTGAGTCTGTCTCTTTCCAGAAGCCGACTTGCAAAACCCTTAGTCTATTGAAAATTTCCATTGATGCTTCCACGCCGGAATCTCAACAGTTTGCCAGTTCATGGTGGCCTCCTTATGTCCCCTCACAGTTTGCAGCTGTTCCTTGTCGTTCGGGCAAGATTACTTCACTGAGGCTAGTATACAACAAGTCAAGTAAGCTCCCCTACGAAGTATACCCAGGGACCTCTTCCTGACATCATGACGACTCCCCCGCCTGATGTAGAAAGAAAAGAAAGGAAAGCGATTCTAGCGTCGCATTCGCTTGGCCCTGCGTGCTTTTTTTGGTCTTCTCTCTCATCGTACCTCGTAGTGCTCGTACCTCACGAGATTGCGGATTACGACGATGCACCTGCGCGAGCACGAGCGTCGAGCACGAGCATCCATTACAAACACCTGCGTGATGTCCGTGATGCCCGTCTTCTCTTGGCGTCTCCTCCATGCAACTCCAGCACGACTTGCAAGTGTCAATTGTCAATTATTGGTGGGGTGAAGAAGGAGATGAGGTCAAGAGAACGGAATGCCACTCGGACTGCCATTGATATCAGTGCTCCTCAAATACGACGACACCTTCCCCCACGTGGAACCGCTCAATACGACATAAAACATCAATGTCGCTCTTGCCGGCAAGCAAGCGAAGATGCAGTGGTAACGGCAATAATCTCTGTCGTATCCAAGTATGGCTAACAGCGGTATCGCCTTATATTTGCAGATTGTCCTTCCAAATCGCTGGTCAGGAGGCCACTTCGAAAGAACGAAGACACTCTAGAAAATATCATAACCGTGGTTTATGTTCAATTTCATCACAAGTCTCGGTGATGCTACCTCAGCTATCCATGGTTAGGCGGACGAATTCTATATATCTCATCTGTTCTTTTTATTCTTTCTCACGTCTCCTGCTTCGTATACACTTGCGTGGGGATCGCGCCTTGGGAAATGAAGCCGCAACCCCATCAAGAGAGCTATAATCCTATGTCCCAGATCACGAAGGTGATAAAATGTGGGACCTTGGGGTCATAAACAAGCTCAGAAGACTTGGGACGAGCAAGGGCCATGATGTTCTCTCACCGTAACGAGGTGGCATTCTTTCCATGTTTTCTTCATCTTTGTGGATTTACAAAGTAATGGGGAAGGAAAGTAGTCGTACGTATTCAGTAGTGGTGGCAAGGGGCACCGGCTCGTACCTGTCGGCCACCCATCTTGACATTGATAATGGCCTGTTTGCTCGGGAGTCTTGCCGGGTGAGGGCGGAGGTAGGAGACATCACCGGATCATCCGAGCAAAGGGGAAAGATTGTAGGTTCCCAAGAAGGACCTGGGAGTTTGCATCCAATTCTACAACTCTACAGCAGGCCTGGAGGGTGCGAAGAAGCTCGCCGCTTGCTCATTTTTAGCTGTAGATGAGAAAGTGTTGAGCGAGGACTAAGTCAAAGACAACTTCCTTGACGCTGATACCGTCCTCCGACGACCCTACTTCGTAAATGAGGTTGCTTTAACCTTCTCCCAAAGATAGAAGGTCAAGGGAGAAGTCGGTGAACATCATCCGTAGGTGGATGAGCAGGCTGGTATCCTCCACTTCCATGGCTCGCTAGCCTAGGTCGTCCGTCATGATAGTTCTGGATGAAGAGATCCTCCCACAAGGCAAAACCTTAGATAGATTCCTAAACCGTCTCCTAAGCCGAGTCTCGTCATTTTCAATAAAGAAACTTGGAGATACGCGATGCTATCTTGGCGAATCTCGCTCTCTACGTTCAGATGTGGTGTCTTCAACAGCTTGTGACGCCCCGGGGAAGAGGATATCGTCGCTGCTGCCCCGAAGCAAGTGATTTTCTTCCCCTCTTCTAAACTCTTTCGTCGGCGCAGGCTCGAGTTACAATACCGGCACATAGAAGGCACCTAGCGAGCAGACCGGTCACGCAGATCCATTATATACCATCATAGTCCATTTCTTCGATTCCAAGGCCGGAACTAATGCCACGAGACTCTAGAAAGAAGATGGCCGCGACGATAACTAAAAGCCCACTGCTCCAAGTTACTCGGGCCCACGTAAGGACAAAACTAACGGAGTTGAGGTTTTCTGGGCCTCCTTCATTCTACGGCTGTCGGGAAACCGAACCCAACACATACACACGTAGCGCATACCTCAGGTGAAGAGCCATAGGTCTCGTCAAGACGTCAAACTTGAGCACTCACTCAGTCCCCCCGGTCGAGGCGAACGCAATTGATAAGTGGTTCTCCTCCATATCCACCAAAGAGAAAAGACAACTGGGCTCTTCTCGAACTACACCACCGCCAAAGCATCACCAGGCCTAGCAGCTATCCTCCAAACCCCCTTATTGAGCAGAAGCAAATAAAAGGCGTAAGCCAAACCAAATCTGTCCATACTAGAAACTTGGGACACGGAAAGTTGGGGGACCAGAATGGACGTACGTACTCCAAGGGCTCCCGAGGGCCGTCGAATCGTCCCGTTCCTCGTACTTCAAGAGGAATTCTCTGCCTTCCAAAGATGTAGAAGGGCCCCCTGCCAAGGCCAGCCGAGACGCGGTGCCGATGCTCAAGTCTCTCAGCCCGTGGGAGTCGCTATCTCGTCCCCGATCAAGTTACGACCGTGACGTGGAAAGACCTTTGGAACTGAGAGCCCCCTCCACGTCCTTGAACCGCGCCAGATTCCGGCTTCGGGGCATCTCCGCGAAGCAGCTGAAGTCCACTAGCGTTCAACACTTGGGTGAGACGAATAGGAGATGATGGGATTCGAGATATGGTTGCGGCTAGGACCTAGAGAGAATGGTCAAGGGCTTCGCCAAAGTGTAAGTGAGCCATCTATACATAGTCATTTGTCTATTGCAACAACCCGTCTGGAAAACCAAAAAGAAAGGCACCATATTAACTTTACAAGGAGTACCAATCTCACAAATTAGTACAATGGTTCTGATTTTTTTAACAGTTTATTGCTTTTGAAATGACAACACATATTCACAAAAAACCAAAGCCCAGCGCTCCTAGAATCATAAAGCCTCCTGTCCCATCCATGTACGATTGTGCATTTTCGTTCTCTTCTTCTATATCGTCCCATCATCGTCACAGCTTGGGAAGGCCTCAACTGCTTGTGTCATGGTATGTGCGAATATCGCAAATTTATCTTCAATGGTGAAAGGTCCGTTAGCTACACCAGTACCATTGTTAGTCACACCTGTCCTCCTGCCTCTCCTTTGGTTAACCACCAACTCGTAACTACACTTACAACTTGTTGGGTCCAGTGATGGCAGAGGTCGTGGGCCACTGGTAGCCAGAAGCATCGGCAAACTTATAACCATAGGATGCGGTGAAGTCATCCAAGACGGCGGGACCTCGGGAGCCTGGGGAGAAGGGAGGAAACATGTCAGCATACTCAAAATTAACTTTTCCTAGATCATCGGAATGCTTCACACAAAAAGTGACAACATACCATATGGGTACTCCATGGGGATGATATCCTTGTTGTCGTCAAGGTAATGGAGCAGAGGGGTAAAGATCCTCCAGCTTGCGTCGAGTTCGTCGTCTCGGACAAAGTTGGAGTGATCACCCTTCAACGCATCAAGGATGAGCGACTCATAGGCTTCGGGGATCTTGAGATCCGAGAATCGTCGGCGGTACGTGAGATCGAGCTCAGTGACGACAGTCTGCATGCTCAGGCCGGGCAGCTTCGAATTCATCTTCAGGTATACGCTCTCGTTGGGTTGGATACGGATGACGAGTTCGTTCCTAGGAATGTCCTTAAAGATTCCAGAGGTCACATCCTTGAACTGGATTCTAATCTCCGTCTTCTGCTCGTTGAGCGCTTTTCCAGCCTTCATAATGAAGGGAACGCCGTCCCAGCGCTCGTTCTTGATGTAGGCGACGAGGGCGCAGAAGGTGGGGCACCTCGAATTGGGGGGCACAGTGTCGTCCTCCTTGTACGAAGGCTTGGTGCCGTCGAGGGACCGTCCGTACTGCCCGATAATGACGTTCTTAGGTTCAATAGCGGGCATAGCGCGGAGAACGCGCACCTTCTCGTCACGGATATCCTCTGCGGAGAAGGAGATGGGCCTCTCCATGGCAAGGAGGGTGAGGACTTGGAGCAAGTGGTTCTGCATGACGTCTCGAATAATGCCGAACTCGTCAAAGTATCCCCCGCGGCCCTCGGTTCCGAAGGGCTCCTTGAAAGTGATCTGAACGTTATCGATGTGATGCCTGTGCCACGTCGCGTTGAAGAAGGCGTTACCGAATCGGAGAATCAGCAAGTTTTTCACCATCTCTTTTCCGAGGTAGTGGTCAATTCGGAAGAGCTCATCCTCCTTCCAGTCAGGCTCAAGGTTGGCCTGAAGCTCTCGAGAGCTCGCTAAGTCCTTTCCGAAAGGTTTCTCGACCTAAATCCACGTGGCAACCATGTTAGCTATGTTCTAGTGCCCCGGAAAATAGCCCGAGAGACGGAATTGGTAATATTTCAGGCATCGAGGGGCCGATTCCAGGGCGCGGGAATACATCCACAGAGCCCAGACTCATCCGAAGATCCCCACTTACAATCACTCGGCAGATGCCCTTCTTGGGGTAGCAGCACCTCTTGAGATGCTGAGAGACGACGGTGAAGACGCTGGGTGGAAGAGCCATGTAGAAGAGGCGGTGCGTTTCAGGTTTTCCACGTTCTAATTCCTCAATGTGCGCGGTCAAGTTGTAGAAGGCTTCATCCTGGTCGTACTGGCCAGAGACATATGAGCAGAGCTTGCAGAATTCCTCAAGCTGCTGCTCGATCTCCTGGGTGGGCACCTTCATGTAGGATTTGATCCTTCGAAGGTATTCTTCATGGTCCATCTTGGTTCTCGCATATCCGACGATCTTGATATCTTTGGGGAGGAACTGGTTGCGGTACTACGGGCGGGCGGTGGCAGTCAGTAACAGACGAAGCGCAATGCGCCGAGCTCACGGGGGTTGCGCTTACAAGACCAAAGAGGGCGGGAAACTGTTTGCATGGCTGTTAGCGATGGTACTAATCATTTTACAGGGTTGCATATCAGGGGAGCCAAGAGGAGTGAAGCAATGCGCAATGCGCAATGGATCCGGCTCGGAGCTAGGTTGACAGCTATTACTTACAGTCTTCTTCTTTGCCAAATCACCAGAAGCACCGAGGACAATGATTACCGTGTTGTCCCTCAGCTCCATTGAGCTGTACCATGACCTCAGTTAGCATCGTTATCGTGATGGCGATTGGCGCCGGCCGTTGTTCGTGGGATTGGAAGCTCCAGGAGGAACTCGTGTAGAGGAGACGGGGAATCGGGCGGCAACCAGCCTGAGAGACGCATTGGGCCGTTTCTCGATTTTTGGCGGGGCTCGAAGCAACTTACCTTGCGGCAGAAACGCGAGTGGCCATTTTGGATAGGAGGGCTGTAGGAGAGAGTGGAGGGGGAGGTGCTTCGAAGGGTTTGTGAGAGCTGTGATCAACGAGGTACAAGAAAAAAAAAAGATGAGGGCAATCTATGCCGCGATTATAAAAGAAGAATCGTAAAAAGAAAATCAACCAGAACCTTCGCCAGATTCTCGCTTTTTGGATTCAGGGTTTCGATTGCGCCGACTGGAATTTTTTTGCTGGATTGGAAAATGGGATGGGGGTTGTTGGGGAATGTTGAAGGTTGGAGGTGGGAGAGGTCCAAGAGATTTCGGGGGGTCACCTGGGGGAGTTGGGAGTTGAGGTCACTCGGCAGGTAGACTCGAGGTTTTGGTAGTTTTAGCACAATGGCGGCAAATTTTATGATCGACGCAGGGAGATCAGAACAGCCAGAGCTTTGGATAGCAGCTGTGGATTGGCGGTGATGATGAAGCAGCTCCCGGAAGCAGGCGAGACAAGAAGAGACAAAGCACGAAGGTAGGAAGTTTGGTACAAGAGATACAAGAGAGGAGAGAGGGGCAGGAGGGGAAGGCGGGACGGCGGGGGTAGCTTCCTCTTGGACAGGACTGGGAACTTGGGTCGGTCTTGACTCTTTGGGTCTTGGAACGGACCGGGGGGGGGGGTTCCTAGCTCTCTTTTGCTCTGGAATTTTTATAGGCAAGTGCAGCCCTAGACTTGGACTGGAGGCTTGGAGACTTGGGAGCTCTATATTTTTCCGAGTGTGGTCCCCGAACTTCGAAGGAATGATGATGCATCATCGATGATTGATGGAGCAGGTGCGGGCAATTTCTTCACGCAACACCGATAGGAACTGGGATTCGTCTAGAGCTACGACTACGGGTACTTCGTACTTTGTCCAGCTAGGATTGGACGGAGGTGCAAGCATCTCAACAACAAGAAAGAGTAGGGACTACGGATGGCCGACATGGGCTGCAAGCAGCAAACATGGGCACGGGGGTCAACCTGCAGCCAACATTGTATGAACCAAAATAATAACATAATAATAGTGTAAGGGTATCAGGCCCTGGCCCGAGACCACAAGGTATGTGACGCATGAAGAGAGGCGACAAGCTACATGGTGTATAAGCAATGGCAGATTGGAGTGAAGTATACAACAGGTTGAAGTGAAGTTGACCAGCACTTTGCCTCCATCACGGATACAACGCACCCACACAAGGAACAGGGAGCCGGTCGCGGAACCGTAGGAAGCAGTTAACTCCGTGGGCAGCTCGCAGGCAATGGCAAGCCAAGAAGGTAGCATCATTGTTGCAAGGGATTTGAGCAAAAAGGTGTCTGATGTGGGTGGTGGGGAGAACATTGAAGAGTGGGGAGCACTATCAAACCCCAGCCGCGAAACCATACGAAGTAGCTCCAAGTTATCCCAGCTACTACGCCGTATCTGCGCCGTATCTCCGCAAAACCCAACACTAAGTAACATGTAGGGAGCAGCTTGGGTCTGCAAGCTCTCAACATCCGTGTCCCGAAGTCCTCTCTGCTAGGATGCACCGCTGTGGAGTGACAGGCAGTAGTGACGTAGTGTACTTCATCCTCGCATATTTTGGACTGGTACGAAGTACTTATATTACAATTGTATGAACTGAGAGGGAGGGGCATTCCAACAGCTTAGTGATTGCCGGCTTGGGGCGATTAGACGCCGTCACTGGCTTACAAAGGATTTTGTCGAGACAAACTGTCGCTAATAAACTGCAGGTCCAAGGCCGTGGGCAGGCTTACTCGATAGAGATGGAAGCTGGGAAGTTGGGAAGCCGGCACACTAAAAAAAGGCCAGACGATCCGGAAGTGGGTCGGAGATACTGGCTAGATTTGGCCAATTCCTGCCCTTCCTGATTTTCGACTCACTTCGGATTTCAAAGCAGTGAGTCAACATTTGTTTGTGTATTGTTACGACACTGGAGGAATTCTCAAATTTACTTAAGGGCCCTAGCCAGTCGCCCGACATGACAATAACAATGAAACTGTTTTGTACAATAGCAAACCTCATTAGGTGCGCGTGGGGACTTGAGAGTCGTCTCGTAATGCTGATGCTACACTATGCTTCAGGTACTGACGTACCTTAGCCTCTTGCCTGGCTGCTCAAGATAAACCAGGTAACTTTACCTCTTCGTACCTGTCGAGTACAACTGCAATAGTTGCTTGATCTCACATCAATTTATAATCACCGACAATAGCATAGCGGAACCCACTACCTCAACACTTCGCCGATACTGAATGAATGAGCCCATTCTCTTTACTGTTTCGAGATATTGTATGGCCTCTTTTTGGGTTTCAACCAAGATACCCTAAAGGATCCAATCTCCACCTTCGTCCACTTCCTGCGCGTTGTCGTCATCCGCACCAGTATCTTTTATCAAGCTGGATCAGCAACAATCTCACTGGAAACCATTGTCAACCAGAAGCCAGGCGCGCCAGTCTGAGGTGGACGATGTGAGCTCGTACTCGAAAATCGAAGTTTGCTTCGGCACGGGTCAGAGCCCCCCATACCTCGAACCTACTTTGTAATATGAATCAAGGAACATTAGTTGAAGCGGACAATAGAACCAATTGGTTTTTTTCCCCCATCCCCATGGCATGTACACTCTCCGCTCTGGCCCTTCGTCGGATGCGTCCATCTCAAGTCCGAAGCCAACCCCACATTTGCCTTTGACCTTCAACGTGCGGGCCACAAATCAGTTTTTGTCATGGCAGAGTCAGAGTCAGAGTCATTGATAAGCTTTCCTTTTCCTCACTCCAACGCTAGCGTGGGTACATCAGCAATGACTCTTCAACTACTCCTGTGCTCTCTCTCCTCAACTTTTTTCCTGCTGCTGGAAGATCGGGGATCACCATGGACTGTGCCGTCGCAGGACTCGTTCCATCGTCGTTTGACGCACCAATCAACCCCCCCGTCTCTGTCTCCTCAAGGACAGGCCCTTGTTCAACGCGGTGAATCCGAAGAGGAGGCGAATTCGATCCCTGACATCCTCCACATTCTCCGTCCACTTGTAGAGCCTCAACACCGCTTTCCAGTCTTCTTCTTTTGCCTGTTCGCCCCACACTGATCTTCGGGATAGCATTACTTGTTCTCGTGACGTGGTACCAGGCGTGTTGAGAGCTGATTGCCACTGTAGCTGACCAGCATCGGGAACCATGAATGAATGAAATTAACAAATAAATGTATCCACTAATATACAAAGCCAGAATTAGCAGAGTCCATCTATTTGTCTCTGATGGCGCTTTTACCCGTCCAGTGGGTCGCATTCGACGCACGGAAGGTTACCGAGAACGAAAGCTGGCTCAACAGACAGAAGCTCTCTCTCCGCGCCCGCCGCATCGCACAGACAAATCAGAGACAGAATGGACCTCATGACTAGATTTCATACGTGGATGCCATGACCCAGAAAAGCCCAAATTGCTCGACTGGGGAGACTCGGTCTGCGCCGGCTCTGATTATCCCGAGTCAGTTGATATTGACCTCCTCGCTTCTCTCACTCCTCGGAGATCCCCTCGCTGGTCCGTATGTGTAGAGTAGACCTTATAATATTCTCTTCTTGCTTACCGCTCATTGCTCGGCGATCTCGGAGCTTCATCTTTCCAAGTCGCCTGGCTGCTGGTAGGTTTCTTTTTTTTATTTTATTCATGAAGCCCGGAGTTAATTCTTCATTCACCAAGTTGCTACCAACACTTTTCCCACCCTTCGCTTATATCCTTTCCTTGTTCGTTTCTTTCTCTTTTTCTTGTCTTGTCATTTTTCGAGCATTATTTTCTTCCATTCGTTGTATCTTGCAGCTCCGTTTCGATGTACCTGCGAATGAATATGCACCCTATTCTCACCGAATACAAATGAGATCCAGAAGTCTCAGCAATCAAACGGAAGAGAGGCTCTCTCACTATGAACTAGCAAGAGGGTGAGGAAGACAGACATAAGGCGTTCATGCCTCCTCAGCCCGAATGAGCGAGCAATCGGAACTCCGAAGTTTCGTCCTGGCAAAAGACCAGGCATAATACGTAAACGCAGTCTACCTGTGCTGCATGGTCTGTGATAAGGCAAGAGCAACCCTTGAGCTATGGCAAGCAGGTCTCAGATTTATCCTGCCTGTTCACCACTAAGTGTAGATACACCTCTCATCGTAGTAGAGCGTTAGGATGTCCATGTATATATACAAATTATGAGTGCCATATTAAACATTGTGTCTTAACTCTCCTCCCAATGTCTTGCATTTCGAAGAATACCTTGACGCTTAACCTCCTTCGCAGGGTTACACACCTCCCAAAACAAGATTTCTAGGATCCGCAAGCCATTATAGATTCATAGATTTTCCCCTTGCAGATCAAATCCCGTGAGATCATATCTATATCCACTCGGCTGAGTTCGTCTTCGCAACTCGTCGAACGTACCCTTGGTGCGAATAAGGCGGGACCACATTACAACTTAGCCTTAGCAGCCTGCTCTTCCTGCTTCGCCTGATCCTTCAAGACCCTTCGGAGAATCTTGCCGGCCGCCGATTTAGGAACGACATCGATAAACCGAACTCCTCCTCTCAACTTCTTGTGCGGCGCCGTCTGCTTAGCGAGCCACTCGATGATCTCCTCGGCGAGAGCATCGTCCTTCGTGATGCCCGGCCTCATCACGACGTATGCTCTTGGGACTTCGGTCTGTCGCTGTGTATCCCAGACGCCGATTACGCAAGCGTCGATGATGTCCTCTCGACCGAGGAGCATGCCCTCAAGCTCTGCGGGGGCAACCTGGAAGCCGTCTATGTGACAAGGCTAGTCAGAATTGTACCAGACCATCTAAATGCAGGACGGGGAGCAAAACTCACTGAACTTGATCAACTCCTTGACCCTGTCGGTTATGTAATAGTTGCCCCTGCTATCGCGGTAGACGACATCGCCGGTCCTGAAATATCCATCCTCGGTAAATGCTCCCTTGTTTTCTTCTGGCCGGTTGAGGTAGCCACCGAATACGTTAGGGCCCTTAAGGAGTAGTTCTCCAACCTATCACCGAAGACATAAATTGTTAGTATGTAAGCCCTTCTCACCAATACTGGGAAGGGCATGAGAACGTCGGTAAGCTCTTACCTCACCATCCTTTGTGACTTCCTTGCCATCGGCATCAATAATCTTCGCCGTCATATTGGGAAGAAGCTTTCCAATGGACCCGACAAACTTGCCGAATTCATCGAGCATCTGAACAATGGCGGCCGGGCCCGTCTCGGAAAGGCCATACCCTTGCTTGACAGGGATCTTAAGTCGCTGCCAAACCTCCTCAACAAGCTCCTTAGTCAACGCCGCGGCGGCCGAGTTGAGGAACCTTAGTGAGGTAAGGTCGTACTTCGATACGACGGGGTGTTTGGCGAGAGCAAGGACGATTGGTGGCGGCACGTAGGTGACCGATACTTGGTGTTCTTGGACAAGCTGGCAGAACCTCTCTAAGTCGAACTTGGGCATGACGACGGTCTTGACGCCGGCGTTCATACCGCCTAGAACAATGATGGCAAGACCCTTTGATTGGTGTCAGCAAGTCCAGCTTTGGGAAGCGAGCCAACCACCGGTTTCTGGGTAAGGGTAAGCTCACATAGATATGGAAGAACGGCAGCACGCCAAGCTGAACATCCTTATCCCAGTTGAGGTACTTGAAGTCGAAGTTCCTTATCTGCGCCATGTTCGCGACGACATTGTGATGAGTCAACAAGACCCCTTTGGGTAGACCTGTAGTTCCCTACATGTCCGAGTTAGTGTGTCCCACAACCGAAATGAAAGAAGAGAAAGAGAAGGCAAGAAACGAGGCCGGGGCTCGGGCCAAAATGAAGTCCTGAGTGTACATACCGAGCTATACACGATAAAGGCAATGTCCTTTGTGTGGTCTACTTTGGTCTTCTTCGGCGTAAAGATGCGATTCTGGTTCGTGATCTCCGTCCAGTGCCTAACCTTCCCGGTCTCATCACGCTTATCCCCGAGGAGGATGATGCGGCTCTCCGGGATGCCAGCATTCGCAGCGGCCTGGCGAGCGATAGGCAGCATAGGAAGCTGGGTGGCGATGGCGGACGCACCGGCATCTTTCAGCTGATGGGTCAGCTCACCGACGGTGTACAGAGGGTTTGCGGGGGAGACGATGCCGCCTGCCCAGAGAGTGCCGAGCATGAGGACGGGCACGTCGATGGAATTCGGCGTGTACAGAGCAAGAACATCTCCCTTGTTCCAATTCCATTGGCTCTTGAGGCCCTTGCCGAACTCGGCGCTCTGAGCTTTGATTTGGGCGAAGGTATAGGATCGCCCGGTTTCGCTCTCAACCAAGAGCTCTGTAGTTTTCCTACTTGTTAGTCTCGGTCCGTAGTATTGCGATCGGAGAAGAGTGAGACGGAGTGAATGGAATATTCACCATGGTCGGGGCCGAACGGGACATCCGGGCGCTCATAGAGATAGCTCCACAGATCGGTCTGTGGAAGAACCACATCGGGGTAGGGAGAAGTATGGGCCATGGTTCGGGCGCTGAAGGAGCTTGGCGCGACGCGAAGGAGTGGCGAGATGCGAGGCTGGACAGCAAGCGTTGGCTAACACCAAAAGAGCTCCCACAACAGGTTCAGATAGATAGACTACGGCCCGATGAAATTACGTCGAGATGCAGGTGACACGCGATTTTGGAGGCGAAAACAAAGAATGAAATTTGAAGTTTCTACGATGGGATTCTCTTCTCCCCAAATATATCTGGGCAAGGGGAAACCTGGAGAAGATCCGGGGAAAAAGCTGGGGTTTGGATAGGTTCCTCGGTCCAGCCCTTGGCACCTCCGTGGTGGGTCAGCAATCTTACTGTGTTGGGGTAGTTCTCCGATGATTTCATGTGCTTGCAGTGGCTTGGAGGGGGCACTAAGCGGCGCATTGTGGTGTGGTTGGCCACACCTCTTTACTGCATCGAGTCTGGTCCCCTTGCTTTCGGTGTGGGTTCCATTATCTTTTGAGGCTGGGTGAGGTGAAATTGCGAGTCGCGATGGAGAGGTGTGTTTGTGTGTGGTACTTTTATTGTTCGTATAATGGCGCGGTGGGGTTTCTGGTGTTGGATCAATCTTCTCAGAATCTCCTCAGAAGCAAACGCCTTCGTACAATCGTTGTCTGCGCTACGCCGAAAATGAGGGCGGGAGTACGACGAAGCTTTGACCTTATTGCGGACATAGTCCCGACTTGGAACGAATGAATTCTCCGTATTCTCCCAGGAGCCCGATTCTCGACTCCCAATGCTTGGGCGGGGATCCCTTGATCGAACCACACTGATGGGGGTGCCCCGCCAATATATGCGAGTTAGATAAATCGCCAGGGACGGCCGTTTGAAGCTGATGGAGAAGTAAAGGCTCCAACAAGGGTTCCAGGTTATCGATGTGTGATGTTGCTGTAAATCACAGCTACGAGGCAACATTGGTGAATGAAGGTTGTTGTGAACACCAGCCCACTTCTCCACATCCCGATCAACTATCGAGGTTCCCGTGAACCGTTCATACATATATATCCTATGATTGCCTCCTCGACTTCGTATCTTTATGCAAAATTTCTATTCTATTTTCATATCCCTTTTATGTGACATCATATGTAGTGTACACGTACAGTTACATCACACCCGAATAGCCAAGCGCCATCGTCTCACACCAGCCTCTCCGTTTCCTCCAAAAGTTTATCAATCGTAAACCTCGAGTCCCCCTTGGCGAACCAGTCCAAAAGTTGCTTCCTCTCCACGCGATCCTGCCCAGTCTCTTGCCACGCGCCGTAGAATTTCTGCAGACAAAGCACCAAGAACCTGGCATCCTCCACCTTGGCGCCCCTGTTCTCTACAACCTGTCCCTGCATAAGCACAAGGCCGCGCTCGTCGAGGAAGTCCTTGTGGTGCGTGATGGTCGTGTGCGGCTGTGCGAACTCGCCGCGGGCCTTGTACTCGGCTAGTTGCGTGAAAAGCACCGTGCTCGTGCCCGACTCGGCATCGAAGGTCCACTCTAGGAAGTGGATTTCAGCCCCTTGTTCGGGATGAGGAACCGGGAGGACGAATTGGGGCGTTGAGCGGGCCGTGGCTTCCATGGCCGCGTAGGTCGCGCCGGGAATCGTTGCGCAGAGGGTGAGAGGGTCGTTCGCGTGGCGGAGGCGCCAGATGGCTGTGAGTTCCTTGTCAGGGAGGGTGCGGGCTTTGTCGAGGTCTAGGATGGCGGAGAGGGGTTTCACGGTGGATGAGGAGGATTTTGAAAGGGACCTTGAAGCGCTGCTTGTCGGGGTGGACGCGGGCGTCGTCGAGGACTGAGTTGAAGATTCCTCTGGTGCCCGCGGAGGGGTTAGTGCATCGGCGACGGCGTCCCTTTGCCGCAGGTCGGCGATCTTGTCGGAGTATGCTGTCTTGAGCTCGTCAAGGCTGTTGAGCCCTTGCTCTTTGGCCTTCTGGTCGAGCTTCTCGCGATACCTCTCCAGGACGGCTCGGGGAGGTTCCGCTGTTGCGAGGAATCTGACGTCGTGCACCTGGGCCCATCGCCGTTGGGCTGGGGCTCGAAGATGCCTCGATGGCAGGGCGAATAATCGCCTCACGGGGCGGGTTAGGTGGCTAGCCATTGTCGTCGTGGGATGGCCTTCGGGGGTGTTGCGCTGGCAAGGCTAAAAAGTCTGGGTGACGATTTATCTTTTCCCAATTAAGTCAAAACCCCTGCAAACCGGCCAACCCTCCGGCCGGCCAATTCTGTTTTGCAGGATAATTATGCAATCTGTATTTCTGTATACCATATGGATTGTGCAAAATTACGCTTAAAAGCAAAAGTGGCCGGTTGGAGGGTTGGCCGGTTGGCTAGGGTCTTGACTTAATGATTTGATGGCGCATCAATCAAATTCATTGATGCTTATTCAGCCAAGGACGGGCCATGCACAACAAAACGGACAATGGGACAGGTTTTCCGTCAAGTAACCATGTACTTCGGTACTAATTTTAGTTCTAATCTTGCCGTTCCAGCGGGGTTAAACCTCTGCTGGCACGCGTTAAGGCCTGGCGTGTTCCGTCACGTCAATTACACGCCTCGAAAATTGCCAGGATTCTGGACCAGAAATAGCACAAGACAAGACCTGGATCGTACATCAATCAATGTAGTGTTATTATTTACTCAACTCCCCTCACTCTCGGGAGCATCTAGAACCTACAAAGTCTCCGGCGAAATATCTTGCACTCCTCCCCATGCATATGGATGCGGCTTCCCATACGCATTTGCAATGCGTTCGTCTAGATCTGTTCCTTCATCAGACGCGTCGCGTATTCAGTCGGGAATCTTAACGCCAACTTCTGATACCTCGCTAAACCATGACTCCAACCGCGATATTACTAGCTCTCGCAAGAGAAAACGAGACTCAAGTGCCTTGGAAGAACTTCTTAAACCCACTATTGTTCTCAAGGTTGGTGTTATGTTACCTGGGGACCTGTGTCTCGTCATGCCTCGTGCTAACGTGTGATCCCCCCAGCCACATCCTCCCAAAATCCTTACCAAGCCCGTTGTCCTCCAACCTCTGATGATAATCCCCCGAGGCTACTTGCCTCTTTCCTACCTCGACCTTCTATCTCCGACTGGTGACCTTACTCCGAGCCGATTCTACGAGTCCCACGTCCGTATCCTCGATCTAGAAAACCGACGCGGCGCCGGTCCCCATCTCCTGATCGCCCGATTAGACACGAACGGTTCTCTTTTTGCTATAGAAGGATTCGAAAAAAGTCTATATACTGCGTGTAAGCTGGGATCATGGGTCGAGTTGAACCAGTTGAGCTCCAAGGCAACGCTTGCTTGCCAGCAACTGCTGTCTCTAGCTCAGAGTCAGCGGGAAGCCACGGCGCCGGCGGCCGTAGCACTTACAACCCCGAGCTTGCATAAAGCAAACAAGGAAAAGAGAATGGCCATTGAGGCACTTCAGTCTGTTGTCCGGAGGAAATCGCGTACGCAATCCGTTTCTACGTTACCGTCCCTGGGCGATTGTGCCAACACGCCACCAATAACCTCCACGGACGCCGGCGAGGCAAGTCCTTCTGATCCGACAGATACGCAAAAGCCAGCCTCTTCCCAGGAACCTCCGCCGACCTCTCAGCCGCCTCAGCTACCACCGTCCCAGCCGTGTGCTTTACCCCCTCCGCCTTCTGGGGATGAGCTCCTTGAAAAGATTCGAACGCAATATTTTGATGCTCTGTATCGGTCCAAGGTAACCCCCCCGCTAAGTTTCCAGTGAGTAGTAGGAACAGCAACTCACAACAATATAGGGTTCCTTGGCGTATTTTCCGAAAGGCCCTCTATCCCGCGCGCGTGCTGCGTTCCATCTTGAAAGTGACATCAGCCTCAACATGGGCGACCTAGTAGAGTTTTTAAGAGGCCTTGTTATCCCATTACGACAGATGAATAAGAAGTACCAAGAGACGATACCCACCCTCATCAAAGAAATGAAGACGCGCGTTGATACCTCGGGAGATGAACGACCAAAGAAACGAAAATCGCGGAAAATGAAACTAGGACGAAATGGCCTCTACCCCGAAGAGGACGAGAGTATACGGGCCTGGTGGATGTCAAATAAGCCGGAACTGACCGAAGGTGAAGCAAGCGTTACGGAGTCCCATATTAAGTCGTACATCGCTCTTCTCCGATCGCGAGAGACGCAGTTGCAGCTGATTCTCATCCTCGAAATTCTTGCCTTGGAGCCCCTGGTAGCGACGGAGAACGCCGCCGACACGCAGCTACCGGGTGTTCAGCCATCCATTGAAACGGAGGAGCCAAAGAAGAAGAAATCGAAAGAGCAGAGTCTCCCTGACCTAGCTGATATGCATGCCGATTTGCTGTGTATCTGGCAGTCCACTGCATCTGATGAGATACGTTTGCTGCAAGACGCTCAACTCCCTGACCAGATCAGGGATGGTCAGAGGATACAGAAGGCGTCCTCAGAGCCACTGAGGGACTTTTGTGTTGATATCATCATGCCATTGTGAGTTGGTCCGCGACGGATTTTCTAGTGAATACCCCAGTCAACTGACTTGGTATAGCTTCTCGGCCCGGTTACCGGACCTTTGCGATTCCCTCAACAGAAAGTTGGGCGGACCCGTCTTGCGCGCCTCCCCCCCAAAGACGATGAAACCGGCGAAACCCAAAACCGTTACCACCAAGCAGCCGAAGCCCGGAGCTGTTGCTAAACGACCTCTATTAGCGAGGGACGGCAAGTCCTTACAGCGCGCCTTCTCTAATGATAAGCTGCAGCGTGATCGACGTAGTATGTCGAGGGGTCCTAGCAAAGCCGTCGCGGCCTTGCTCTCCGCCACCGAAACGGCCATTCCGGGTCTGAAGAGGGAAAATAGTGACTCCCTCTCTTTGATGAGCATTCCACGAATGAGAGCGGACTGCGGACTTCTCAAGTCTGCCACGGCGGGTTCTTTGTCTCGCAGTAATAGTATTTCCGGCGACGACCCCAGGGTGAAGAAGAAGGCAATGGTTGAGGCGGAGCTTCAGGACGCCATTGCTGCCTTGAGAAAGCCCAATCGGCAGCTTGCTGGCGCGTCGATGGTGGAGGCGGCTGAAAAGAGGGTGTCGGGAAGCCTGTCTCAGATACGAAGTGAGTTTTGTCCCTGTCTAGATGAATTCCTAATGGAAGCAAATACTAATACTTCCCTTGAACAGAATCAAGGAAACCTGTGCGACACACGCCAAGTGAACAAATTAAAATCAAGGCCACGCCGCTGCACAACCGATACCGCGACCCGATGGCCGGTCACTCCCAACCGGCTCCGGTCGCATGGCCTCTTCCCCGTCTTGGTGCTCACGAACCTCCCCCGTCGTCGAATGGGTCTGTCATCCCAGCCACGGCGCCGAGAAAGGGCTTCAGGGACGCGTTGCAGAGTAGTGCATCCCCAGCGTTCGACGTTATCACCTCGACACCCGCGCGTAGATCCGTGGTGGACAGGATCGACGCCACCCCGGCGCGGACTAGCACGATCGCCGCGACTCCCGTACGGTCGAGCGTGAAACCGGCTTCACTCCCTGAGGAGGAATCGCTACCTGCCGATGAAATTATGCTGCCGTCCTCACCGCTGATGGCCAGGAAGGCGCCCCCGAGTCAGTATCTGGCCGTTCCGAGGAGCGGAGCATCGCGCTCCGCAGATATAAGTGGTGTCCGGAGCCTGAAGGATCTTTTTCGTACACCTGTGAAACCCAAGCAGACGGCCCCAGCAGCCTCCGAAGAGAGGATGGCGGAGACGTCTGTTGTAGCGGAGAAGAAGAAGGTGTCTGTTTATGAGAAGTTGGGGTGGGATAATGAGTTTGACGACTTATGAAGCGTTTGTCATTAGTTTGGGATTTTTTGATGTTTTATATGACGGGAAGTTGAGTGTCGTATACGGGGTTCCGTGGACGGGATATACGGGAGTTAAGTGCGTGGCATGGCATTGCTGTTGTTGTTTTTTCCCCTTTCCTCTTCGGGCTCAAGGATTGCATCGTGGCATTCAAGCATACTACTGGCGTTTGGCACTTAGAGATGGGTTTACACATCAATGCATAAATTTTCCCGTACGCAAACTCAAGCTTTAATTGCGGATGTATTCCAACGCATCGCAGATTCCGTAAAGTACGGGAACGGATGTGAACGATACCCAAGATATTAGCATAAGTTAAGTCATGACGACATCTAGAACCCTACAGAATTCCTGGCCCTTCATGGACTCTTTCCCACGACAATGATCGGCAGCTCTCTAACATCAACGTGTTCCTGCGACCCCAAGTCCACGACCCTCACCGCCTCGACGCCGAGGACACCCTCGCGCAACGCCATAAACTTGAGCTCAGCGACGTGGCAGGTACCCGCCGCTAGAGGCCCAACCCTGACGTCCGAGCTGAGACACACGACGTCGGGCGCATCGAGAGTGGAGTTCTTATGCATGGCGTGAACGATGTTCTCGTCTAGAACCGCGTCGGCGACCTGTTCGGCACTATCGGGGTTCGATGTCGCAGTCGAGGCGGCGTTGGCGATGGAGGCTGGTCTTGGATGGCTGACGGAGGGGGGCCGAAGGACGCGATGGTGGTCTACCCTCCGACGTTTCGGCAGGGCAACAATGGCAAGCTTGCGCGGGGAGGCAGAGTTCCTATTAGAGGTACGGTTGACGACGTATACCGTCCACGAGAAGACGTCGCCGGGGTAGATGGGGTCGGAGGGTGCGCTAAACGTGATGGTGATGCCAAGATCGGGGATGGTCGTCTCGGTACGTGTGGTAGCGGCCTCGAGGGTCGGGAGGGCATCGGGCCGGCTGACGGAAGGGGCCGTGAAGGAGGACTCGCCGCCGCCGATGGAGAGCTGGGAGGGCCGGTGGGAGCGTTGGATGGGTTGCATGGCGGGGCCGAAGCCGGGGTTGACGGGGATGGTGAAGTCGAGAGGTGTTGTCCATGAGAGGTTCAGTTTCGGAGTGCATTTGGGGGCGAGGTTTGCGGTGGCCTCGATGGTGATGTCGAGGTCTCGTATGGGGTTCTTGACGATGTCGTCGAGGTCGGAGGGGAGGAGGGAGTAAAGGAAGGTGGCGTGGTCGTGGGCGGCACATGTCATGGGGAGCAGTTCCGAGCCTGGTTGATCGTTGAGATCCTCGACGGTGCCGCCCCTGAGATGCGGCGTAATCTTATCGATGGTAATGTCGCAGGGAGTATTACCCCCAAAGTCCACCTCTAACACAGCAATCAGCGTTGAGTTTGGGGGCTGCATCGTCGGCCTCGCTATCCGAACGCGAGAATGGACTGCGGGTGTGATGTCCAGTTTTAATTCCTTAAGCGCCTTGATGGACCTTGTTAGCTCTTTGGGATCAGTGAGAGGAGCCACACGAGAGACCCGGAGAGCCGAGAGGCGTGGCTTTGTTCTTCCCTCTAGGGCCGGATCGCTGCCAAACGCTTCGAGGAGGTTCAGGCCCGAAGGTACTCCACTTTGTAAGTAGCCACTATCCCTTCCGGATTCGACCTGATCTACGGGTTGCAACCCCGCCGAGGCGTGGAACACGGCCACGGGGCGTCGAAGACGTAACCTAGGCCGGGCAAGAAAGACGGCCATCTTCCAAACGGCGTAAATGTGCTGCTCGTGTTGCTGGTCCTCGTCGCTATCCTCGTCGCTGCCGGTGTCGGACTCATCGACAACGATGAAGGGGTCATCCATGTCCTGCACGGTGCCCGTGAAAATGACATCCTGTCCTGGAGGGCTGGGGCTCTCATGGTCGGCCGTCGCCGTGTTGATGATGTGAGTCTCTAGCGATATGACGAGCCTGGAGAAGTGAGAGCGCAAAATCCTTTCATCTGCCCACGGCGTTCTTAATACCAGGAGTACGTTAACCGTCTCATCTAGTCCACCTGAGTGAGCTTCATTTATTCATCCCTGAGGCTCAAGGTGGAGGGAGAGATACCGAAGAAGAGCGTCTTGCGCCGCGGTATGGAGTCAAGAATGGGAGCAGAGGAGTCAACGTTCTTGAACAGTTCTTCGAGAGTAAGATCGGTCTCGAATGGGATTATGTATGAAAGTTGCGACTGCTCAACAAAGCGGGTATCAGAGTCGGAATCACCCGCTGAGAGGAGGTCATCTTCAGGAACAGCCATCGAAGGCGACTTGAAGATATACTGTTTCGATATGAAGATGAGAGAAAAGAGGAGCCCGTTGAGTTATAAATAATGCGCCTCCGGTAAGGGGGGGTGCGTTTGGTGCAGGGTGAGACCAATCGATGAAGCTCTTGATGAGAGGGACCGGGTGCTCCTTCACTCAATTCACTGATGATCCGCCTTGATACGCCAACTGGGCTATGAGCCAGCATTTCCAGCTTCTCTTTAGGCGGTGTAACGTTTTGTAATTTTAGTGGGGGAAGCCCATGCAACCTCTGGCCAGCCCCAATATGACTGCATTTGATGTTCGACATTTAGCCTCAGTCGTGTTGTGCCAGATACGGGTAATCGTCGGCTAAACACCCTCGAATTTATTTTCTTCCTTCCATCCTTCCATTTGCGCCTCCCAACATGATCACCCTTGTCAATCTCGAATCAACTTGACCTTGAGCTTGCACTCAAACCCATCGTCTGGTTGAGCTTTCCTAGCCTGCCCATCAAGCTTCTGTTGATTTGTCGTGCTCTTGCGCGCGAACACACAGCAATGAACGGCGCTACCCCCCCTTTCGGCCAGCCGCCCCAGGCCTGGCAGACTCATCGCACGCCCGACGGCCGACTCTACTTCTACAATACCATTACGAAAGTGACACAATGGACGAAGCCCGAGGACCTCATGACTCCTGCGGAGGTAAGCTATTCTTTGAACAACTGATGAATATGGATGGTTTTGTCGCTAACACGTCTCGTACCCGGCAGCGCGCCCTAGCGAATCAACCTTGGAAAGAGTATACGGCTGAAGGTGGGCGCAAATACTGGTATAACACGGAGACGAAGCAGAGCTCCTGGGAAATACCAGATGCCTATAGACAGGCTCTTGGAATCAGCAGCGAGTCTACGCCGACGTATGTTTCTTCTCTCAAACTACTTTCCTTCACTGAGCCACTAACCCAAGCCAATAGACCTGGAACCCCCCACCCTGGTCCAGGTGGCCATGATTATTCGCGCGATTATCGAGACCATGGTAGAGAATCTCGCCAGTTGTCCTATGGCCATGACTCACAATCGCAGGCTTTTTTTGTCCCCGCTAGCACCGACCCCGAATATGCGACCCCCGAGGAGGCAGAGGCTGCCTTCATCAAGATGCTTCGACGTTGCGGCGTCCAGCCCGATTGGACCTGGGAACAGACCGTTCGCGTTACCGTCAAAGACCCCCAACACCGCGCGATAAAGGACCCGAGAGAGAGAAAGGATGTCTTCGAGAAGTTCTGCCGAGACATGATAACCCAGGACAAGGAACGTGCAAAGGAAAGGCTTGCTAAGCTGCGTGCTGATTTCGAAACTATGCTGAAGCGCCATCCCGAGATCAAGTATTATACCCGCTGGAAGACGGCGCGGCCTATGATCGAAGGCGAGACCCTCTTCCGCTCCACCGATAACGAGAATGAGCGGCGCCAGCTTTTCCAAGAGTACATCCTTGGTTTGAAGCAAGAACATGTTGAGCGCCAGGCTGCCATGCGCAAAGATGCCATGTCTGGCTTGATCGATCTACTCTCGAAGCTTAACCTCGAGCCGTATACGCGATGGTCCGACGCTCAAGGTATCATTTCGTCCACCCAGCCCTTCCAGAATGATGAGAAGTACAAGGCTCTGAGCAAGTTTGACATCTTGACTGCGTTCCAAAACCACATGAAGGCTCTTGAACGTGCCTTCAATGACTCCAAGCAGGAACAGAAGAACAAGAAGTATCGGAGAGAACGCCAAAACCGCGATGCCTTCAACGCGCTGCTCTCTGAGCTTCGTCGTGCCGGCAAGATTAATGCTGGAACCAAGTGGCGCCAGATTCACCCTCTGCTTGAGAATGACGAACGGTACATTGCGATGGCCGGTCAATCGGGCTCTACTCCCCAGGAGCTCTTTTGGGATGTCGTTGAAGAAGAGGAGCGTGGTCTCCGAGGTACTAGGAACGAAGTCTTAGACGTGCTTGATGTAAGTGTTTTTTTTTCCCTTGATCTAATACCGCTGTTCCTCAGAGGAGCAATGACTGACCATCATTTCGGCAACAGGACAAGCGGTTTGAAGTTTCCCAGAAGACTACGTTTGACGAATTTCTGTCAGTTGTTAAGGATGACCGACGTACTGCTAACATTGAACCCGACCTTCTACGTCTTATCTTCGAAAGGGTATGCCCTAAATTCCCATTTCCCCGCCTCTGGTCTCGTATACGAAAGTTGAATTTTACTAACAACACAAATTATAGATTCAGGAAAAGTCCTCGAAGCGGTCTGACGATGATCGCCATGCAGAACGGCAACAGCGACGAGCGGCTGAGAACTTGAGATCCTATATGAAGCATCTAGACCCACCTCTCACAGTTCAGGATACTTACGAGAAAGCTCGTTCACGGCTTGCCCGAAGTGATGACTTCCAAGCCATCACGTCTGAGGATGCCCGGCGAGCCGTCTTCGACAAGTTCATCCGACGGTTGCGGGAGAGAGAGGAAGATGCTGAACGGGATCGCCATCGGCGCCGAGACCGTGGCTCGATTGACCGAGAAGTGTACCGAGAGAGGGATAGATCTCGAGGCGATAGGTCTCACCGAGGCAGCGGAAGGGGTTCCCGACGAAGTCGCTCCCCAGAAGCTGACGCTTATGAAGCGGACCGCCGCAAGGCAATTGCAGAGCGTGAAAGGAATCATCGTAAGGCAACCCTTGCTGAAAGCGTGTTGGCGTCCGAGAGGCGGGCATCCCCTGGCCTGCGTCGTGACCGCGACCGTGACCGAGAACGAGATAAGGATAGGGATCGAGAGCGCGAGCGAGACAGAGACCGGGATCGCGACCGTGAACGTGAACGTGAACGCGACCGAGATCGCGATCGAGATCGTGACCGGGAGCGGGAGCGGGAGCGTGATAGAGACCGCGAACGAGACCGAGACCGAGATCGGGACCGTGAGCGGGATCATGACCGACATGGCCGATCTCGCCGGGACGACGACTCGTACTATGACCGTGACCGCAAGAGTCGCGATGAAGAGCGCGAGAGAGTGTACCGACGCCGAACAGAGCGGGGTGGTTCGTACGACGAACTTCCGTATGGAGACGAGCGCCCGTCAACCCGCCGCCGCCGTGCCGATGAAGACGAGGAGCGTCGAGATTCCAAGGTAAGAAATCTACCAGGCCCCATTCTTTCTCTCTCACACCTCTATGAAACTCATGCTAACCCACAATTGTAGCGCCTAAGAAGAGAAAAGTCACCTCGTGAGCGTACCCCGACACGTGAAGGCCAACCCCCCAAAGTAACTCCCCCATCCCAACCGCCACCCAAGGATGAGGCTGGTGTTCACTCGGGCAGCGAAGAGGGAGAGATTGAGGAGGACTAGTCGTCTAGCTCTTCCTTTCCTCGCTCCGCTCCTACTCCTACGTTCCCTAAGGCCAAGGTACAATTCCGTCGTCGATACCGATACTGAGATCGAATCCAACCATGGGCACTCTCTTTTTTGGGCCGTGGGACTCGTCATGGTTCGAGGAGGAATGGGTGCCCTTTTTGCGTTACGCTTCAGTCAGTTGTTCCACTCCTCCCTGTTATGAAGGAGGCTACCACAGAAATGCAGGTGGGATTCTTTTTCGGGCGCGGGCCGTTGCATGCACGTCTACGTCAGGACCCAGGACAATTCACCAACAAAACAGAAGCAAGTCGACCGAGGAGGACGAGAGATATTGGTTCACCCCATCGAGTACGTACTGCAAGCTCATATCTGTGGTGGGATCAGATGACTTCTTCACGACCAGCAGACAGAAATGATTCGGCCGCTTCATCATTCCTCCTCTTTTGTTTTCACCATCTTATAATGTTCCTTTTCTCTCTTCCTCGTTCTCCCACCAAAACAGGCCGCCTTCCGTCCAAGCCTCATCCCCCAACCAGCTTCCTCCTAGGCCTCGGCGTGTTTGAAGCGTCGGAAGTCGAGTACGTCTCCCCTTACAGTTTCCCTTCTTGTACCTCATAAAAAAAGAAAGAAAAAAAAAAAAAAAAAAAAAAAAAAAAAGAAAAGAAAGAGACACGTAGCCGTTGGTGATCTCTCTTCCGTCGCAGACGCCACTCTGTTTTCTTTCCTTTCTGCTTCTGCAAGCAGCTAGTTAGTTGTCTTAATACACAATATATGCATTTCAATATTCTGGTCGTTGGTCACGCCTACTATTTTCTCCGTTTACGGACGGGGAACGTGGTTTTGTATTTGTGAAGTGATAAAACATCTATTCTACTCCCGAAAACAAACAATGATTCAAATGGGGAAAATCTCTTCTACCCTAACCAACCCCGAATAGATAGGGTTGGGGGCTACGTGAGAGAGATTTTTCCTGGCTCGGCGGTAGTCCTCCTGCTTGATCCGTTGGCCCCTTCTTTTTTTTTCTTCTTTTCCTACTGAGCTATTTCTAGCTCGGTGTGCCCACGACGGGAGTTTTGATCCAAATAGACAAATTCTGCAAGAAAGATATCGAAGGAGAATAAGGGGAGATGTGCTGGGAACTTGGGGGCAATGGTATGCGCACTGCCTTGGGCTACTTCGGGAGATGCTCGTCGAGGGACACCCACACTTGAAGAGTCCTGGCGTGAAGTTCTCAATGTTCAACAAATTGACTGATTCAAAATGTGCCTAGCCTCCGCTGCTTTAACCGAAAGCTAAAGCGAGGGCCGGCATGGGGCAAGGAAAGAATAAAAAGAGTGGTCGGTAACGCAAAGGCAAAAACAGAAACAGGATCATCGTGGGCAAAGGGTGTTCCAACGGGAAGGGGGGGGGGGAAGGGACTACCGCCGCCAGTGTTACCCATCCGTTCGTCATCGTCGCCGCCAACGCCATCGTCTACTCCAACCTCCAGAGAAGAATGGCCACCATTGGCACGTTTAATAACCCGGCACACTTTTTGAACGCCTAGAACGCCTGTGTCCAATGCATGATGACTGGAAGGAAATGTGTCCTTACGGATGCCCTTTTCAACTGCGCTTGGGACCGTCGTCCATGAAGAACTGCGAGTGACACAAAGGGTATTAGTATTGTGTAAAGGAAATTCAATATTAGGTTTAGGTATGGACTCACGAAGTTGCCGCTGCTCTTCTGCTCTTGGTCGAGCTGAGAGTTGTTCTTGTTGATGCGGGGGCGGTAGTTTCCAGGATCGCGACGGAAGGTAACGTCGAGGTTCTTCAAGAAGGTGTTGCAGCCGGTCAGGAGAGACTCGGGCTTGTTGGCATGAGAGTTGATACCGGGCTGGCCGTCGAAGACGATGACTCGGTCGGCGAGATAGGTGGCCATGATGAAATCGTGCTCGACGATGAAGGCGGTCTTCTTGGCGTGCATGATGAATCGCTTGATGACGCGGGCGGCAATGATACGCTGCTCGGAGTCCAGGTAGGCGGAGGGCTCGTCGATGAGGTAAATGTCGGCGGGGATACCGAGGGCCAGAACGATGGCGACGCGCTGCAATTCACCACCGGACAGGTTCTTGACTTCCTGGTCGATGAAATCATCAAGCTTCAGGGGCTTGACGACGTCGGTCTGGAACTGGGGGGACAAGAACATGGACCTGATCTTCTTGAAGAAGAGCTGGCGGACGGTGCCATCAAACTTGGGAGTGATGGTCTGGGGCTTCATGCTGATGGACATCTCGGGAACGCTAGCCTTGCTGTCGGGCTTCAAGGCACCGGCGAGCAGTCGGCAGAAGGTGGTCTTTCCGGTACCGTTCTCGCCCATCATGACAATAATCTCGGAGTCGGTGAAGGTACCAGCATCGATGCGGAGCTTGAAGTTACCAAGCGTCTTCAACATCGAGGGGTAGCTGAACGAGCGAGACTTGTCGGCGTACAGATCATCGGTACCTTCGGCAATGCGGAAAGTGAGGGACTCCTCACGGAATCGAAGGTTCTCGGTGGGGATGTGACCGTCGAGGAAGATGTTGATACCCTCGCGAACGGAGTGGGGCAGCGTCACAACACCATAGACAGCAGGCTGACCGTAGAGCACACATACATAGTCGGAAAGGTAGTCGAGGACGGACAAATCGTGCTCGACGACGATAACGTAGTCGTCCGGCCGAAGAAGCGATCGGATGATTCGGGCGGCGCTCAATCGTTGCTTGACATCGAGGTACGAAGACGGCTCGTCAAACATGTAGCTGGGGATCGTGTTAGTCAACGAGTTAAGAAAGGCACCGCTCAAAAGATGCCAGATTCGATCACGGATACGTACACATCGGCTTTCTGGACGCAGACGGTACCAATGGCGAATCGCTGAAGTTCTCCACCAGAAAGAAGCTGAACCTCACGATCCAGAATATGGTTGAGCTCTACGAGGAGAGGTTAGGAAGTTAGGCAACAGTACCATATTATACATCCGTTCGTGTCTGGGACTTACCGAGAGTGTCGCAGACTTCCTCTAGGTTACCGAGAGTCGCTCGGGAAGTGAGGAGGGATCGGACAGTCTTGTTCGGACCGCGAATGGACTTGGGAATCTGGTCGACATATTGAGGCTTGACAATGGCCCTGAGGTCATCTTCGAGGAGCTTGGTGAAGTAGTCTAGAAATGCGGTCAGACGAAGCACTGCACCTACATATTTCATAAGGCGGGTAACCAGCATAGCATACTCTGGAGCTCGGATCCTCGGAAGTACTTAATGACATCCTCCCAGTCCGGTGGGTTATCGAAGCGACCAAGGTTTGGCTTCAACTTCCCGCTGAGAATCTTGAGGGCAGTACTCTTTCCGATACCGTTGGTTCCGACAAGGCCAAGGACGTTGCCGGGACGAGGGGTGGGGAGACGGTGCAGCTTGAAGCTGTTGGCGGAGTATCGGTGGGTAAGCTGGGTCTCGAGGTTGGTGGGAAGGTTGATAATGGTGATGGCACCAAAGGGACACTTCTTCGGACAGATACCGCAACCAATACAGAGGGGCTCAGAGATATAGGCGATTCGCGACTCGGGGGTGACCTCGATACAGAGCTTGCCGCTCTTGACAACAGGGCAGGATTTCTTGCATTCCTGACGACATTTCTGCAGCACAGAGCAGTTAGCAAACCTGAAAGAGGGTGCGCATATATACATATATATATATATATATATATACAACGCAAGATGGTAGTAATAACGAACCTTTGGCTTGCACTATTAGAGGGCGAACACAGAGAATTGTCAGTGATGTCTTCTTTCCCAGTTACTCTCTCGACGGGTGACGGCGGCTGGTGATGGCGGGGTATCCATGGGTGCCCATGGTGGGAAAAAAATATCACAGAAACGCGGGGCACTGGGCAAATCCCAAGCCGTGCCTAGCAACAGAATCCACGATTGAGCCCTACCTTGTCGCTATTGACAATAGCCACACTAAGTGCCCAGTTAGTATCTAGTTCATCTCAAGCGAGGGGAAAATGATAAATATAAAATATATATATATATATATATATCATCCAAAATCAGCCGGGGGTTAGGACTCCTGTGGTTGACATACCGAGTGAGTTTGTCGGCCATTTTGCGCGGACAACTCGTTCTCTGCGGAATGAAGTTTTTGGGTTAGGGTTCTAGTTCCAGCACGGGTCTGAGGCAGAGGAGGGGATATGCGACACAGACTTGAGTGCCAAGTGAAAATAGGCCTTGAGGGGCGCGAAAGGAACTGGAGTCGAATGATAATGACGGCGATAGCGTCTGATGCTTTCTAGCCCTGGGGAGGAGAGGTTCGTCGGGAGACGAATATTTCAAGATGTGGTCTCGAGGCAAGAGGCAAACAAGGATTTATTTGGGCAGTCGTTGGCGATTGTGGCGGATCGAATGGGGGGGATGAGGACTGTGGACTCCTTTGAACCAAGCAGACTTGGAACAATTGAATGGTCAAACTAAGTGGCAAGTGGGGTGGTTGTAACGGTGATTCACAGCTCGAGTGCAGCCAGGGCGGAGCAGGAGGTCAAAGTATGGAGTAATCATTTTTTCCTCGATTCTAAGTCGTCAGCTTTCTGGTCACTGATCTTTGCTCTGTTTGAATCAAAATGGGGTTTGCCTCCTCGGAGTTCTCCTCCACAATTTGGAACTTCAAATTGAACCCATGTCTGGTGGAATGTATGTAGACTGACACTTGTACATGGGCACATCAATGCCGTCCTGCTCTTGGCTTTGGCAGCGTTTGTACTCCGCACAATTGAGCTGCCAGTTGCTATTATTCATGTTCATATTCGTATCAATACGGAGTACAGTATCTCCGTCCTGGAACTGCCAAGGTTATATTAACGGTCTGGTACTTCGTACACCTGACGTACTTGGACGTTTGGGATCCTGAACATTACTGGGTTTTCCCTACCGCGGTGAGCAAAGACGGCTAAAAACCCTGAGGGCCCATTTCTACTAGCAAGATTTTTGGCCCATCGGCCCATCCCGGGTCGTGTAACTGGTGTTCAAGATGTTGCGTCCTATGAACTACGGTTGATAGATTAGGCCATCGAGAAAGAGCAGCGATGCGGGCATGAGACATTTCTGATGGGTATCCACGCTTGTTTCGTACGGTCTTCCGAGGGATGCATTCGAAGGTAACAGTGAGCCAGGCCCGGCCATGTGTCAATGTTGTCCGTCAGTGTGGCAGCGGCCAAGCTGATTTTGTGTGCCACTCCAGTATGGCCGATTTACGAAGAAGCACCGCCAGCTGTGATGGAATATAACCCAATGTAGACGGACACTTTGTTAGTTATCGGTCATCTTCCAAAGCTTGACCAGTTCTTCGGTTGGTTTGTAAACTTGGAATCTTTTCTTTGCCATGTTTGGACCCCGTTTCAACAAACCGCAGCCATTTGCATATACATTAGAAAAATAGGGGGAAAAGATTGCAATCACAAGTCACAGTTGTAAGACAGGCTGTCAAACATCACCTGGCTCTAGAAATTCTCTGCCCATTGGGAAATATATTCCTCTCGATCAGTGTTAGAGAGCCTATTTCGTTGACACTTGCCATTTTAGGAAACCAAGCATCTGATGTGCATGCCTGATTTATTAGGTAAAAAGAGTTGCACTAAGTCTCTCTGAGGCGATGCAGGATTGACACCTGACAAGGAGTTTGAATAGGCGTTTTAATCCAGTGTATCAAGTACTTACTAAAACACCTATTTTGTACCACAGATTAGGTATCTAATACTTCCTTCCACACTGAGCAGCAGTCAATTTTTTTTCCCTCGTCCAGAGAAGGAGCCATCTGTAGTGTACCTGCCTAGCCTCTCTCCCCCACCCTCTAAAATTTCCCTCCCAAGCCCACTGAACTCCTTCACTACCCAACTCAGAATTCTCTTCCCCTGCCACCCTCACCTGTGCCTTTTGTCACTACCCATTCCCACCAACTTCTGCCTCACACTTCATGTTCTTTCTTCCCCAATTATCCAGCCCCCATCACCAGCCCAACTGGCTTCACTACATTTAATCATAATCTTGGTGACCCCTACTTTGATTCTTATGCTGCCTGAGGGCCGTTATTGTTTAATGACTCGTAAGTCTGTTTCCCTTACCCAGAAAAATCCCCTGGTCTGAGCTCTATCTGGTCATGCCCGGAACCTCGCTCTCCTCGGCCAATTCACTTGCAAGAGGTGATCCTGCGATGCCTGTATCCCGCTTGGAAATGGCATCGGAGCCCTTAGCAATGCTTTGACCTGATGGAATCGAGTTGTCTTGATGGCTCTGACCCGTCTGTTTTGCTCTCTGACCATCTCCGCTTCTGTGCCTCGCGCAATTGCACTTCCATCACCCGTCAGCCTCGCCGTCATCGAAGACGTGCCGAGAATGCGACAGGGTGGATAGCACCCTCTACTGTTTCATTTTTATGTCTTGGAACACGTCAATTTGATCGCCTCTGTCTCTTGGCTCATCGCAGGCCCTAGCAGATGGCGTGATAGACTGTTAAGCCCGCGTTGCTAATCTGTGTCGTCTATATAGCGGGCAGCCTTGCCATCACGCCTTACGATGCCCTCTTCTCCAGAGCCGAGTCCAGTTAATGGACATATATCTCCCCCGACTCTCATGTCAACCGAATTCGATGCCGGCGACGCAGTATCAGATAGCGATTTGTCCGATGTCCGAGACGTTGTCGTTGCCGACCCCGTCGCACGCGCCTCATCATCATCTGGTGATGAGATGCCCACTTACACGGAGGCCGTCCCGGATATTTCAGACTCAGAGAACCAAAGCGAAAGCGATTCGCCCGAGGATAACGCCTCAGATGATGGCGACTACGATATGGATGATAGCCCCCCGTCTCCTCAAAGCGATGGCGCCGACGACACTCGATCGAGCTCTCAAGCATCTCGTCGTGCCTCCAAGCGCAAAGCTGCCGTTGAGGAGGACTATATACAACAAAACCCCGAATTGTACGGCCTAAGACGTAGTGTATGGATTTTCCTACCCTTTATCTGCTGCTTTATCTTGTTGAACGCTGAGCTAACCTTGCTTCGTATAGGGTCGTGCCACCCAAGCTCGCCGATTCGTATGTTCTTTCTCCCTCGGCCTTCCCGCCGCCCTCATACTTGTACAAGTCACTAATACCATCTTTTTCATCAGGTTGACTCTGATTCGAGTTCCGAATCTGATGCTGTCCCCGTTACCAAACGACCCCAGAAGAAGCGACGCGTCGAGACATCTCAGCCGAGTACGTCCTTGTCTGGTTCATCATTATCCTGCACAGCCTTGCTCCGTTATTTGCTTCCCAACTAATATACCTTCCCCTAGCCTCCAAACGCGCCACTCCTGCTCGTCACGTATCGGATTCGGACTCCGACTCTGACAACTATGGAGGCGCTCGCGCCAAGACCTTCCGACGCAAGGCCCGCCGCCAACGCGAGGAGCAGCCCGACCAAGCGCTCGCTGAGAAGCGATGGTCTAGCCGCCGAGCCGCTCAGGTACAACAAGGCATGTACCAAGAGAGTAGTGAGGAGGAGGAGGACGAACTGTCGCTCGACAATGATTACTCCGAGGAGTACGTTGACACTCGTCCTTATATCGAGAAAGTTGTTCGCCATCGTCCCAGGAATGGCATCGACATCGGCATCGGCGCGCGTCGAACCGATTTCGAATACTACATCAAGTGGCAAGGACAGTCGCATCTCCACGACACATGGGAAGAAGCCGAGGACCTCAAGGACTATCGCGGCTACCGTAGGGTTGAGAACTATTTTCGCAAGGTCGTTGAATACGAACTAGACGTCAAGTTTAGCGATGATATCGCTCCCGAGAGCAAGGAGCAGTACTTTCTCGACCGGGAGAGGGACGAGGAAGCCCTGGAAGATTACACAAAAGTTGAGAGGATTGTCGCCGTCAGAAATGGCGAACACGGAACCGAGTACTACGTCAAGTGGAAAGGCCTCACCTACGACGAGTGCACGTGGGAAGAGGAGGGCGATGTCAGCCCTGACTTCCAAGACAAGATTGACCAATTCCTTGATCGATCCGTTCGCTCCTGGGGTTCCGATCGAAAGGAAGCCAGCCTCAATACTCGCACAAGGATGACGAAGCTCGAGGAACAACCTTCTTATATTAAAGGAGGGGAGCTACGGCAGTTCCAACTTATGGGTTTGAACTTCCTGTGTTTGAACTGGACCCGAGGTAATAATGTCATCTTGGCCGACGAGATGGGCCTGGGTAAAACTGTTCAGTCCGTTTCTTTCCTGAGTTGGCTGCGGAACGACCGTCTCCAGGAAGGCCCATTTCTAGTGGTAGCGCCTCTGAGCGTCATACCAGCCTGGTGTGACACCTTTAACCATTGGGCGCCCGACTTGAACTATGTCGTCTACCTTGGCCCTGACTCTTCCCGCCGCATCATCCGCGACAATGAACTCCTTGTTGACGGGAACCCAAAGAAGCCCAAATTCAATGTGCTCGTCACGTCCTATGACTACATCCTTGCCGACTGGCAGTTCCTTCAGACGATCAAGTGGCAAGTCCTTGCCGTGGATGAAGCCCATCGGTTAAAGAACCGAGAGTCCCAGCTCTATGCTAAGTTGTTCAGCTTCGGCGTACCGTGCAAGATCCTCATCACTGGTACCCCTATCCAGAACAACCTGGGCGAGCTGGCAGCCTTACTTGATTTCTTGAACCCAGGAAAAGTTACCATCGAGGGTGATCTGGAGTCTCTATCTGCAGCCGATGCCCAGGTTCAGCTTGAGAATCTTCACAAGGCTATATCGCCCTACATCCTTCGGCGAACTAAGGAGACTGTCGAGTCCGACCTGCCTCCAAAAACGGAGAAGATTATCAGAGTAGAGCTCTCTGACGTTCAACTCGAGTACTACAAGAACGTGTTGACGCGAAACTACTCGGCTCTTCGGGACGCTAACGGCCAGAAGGCCTCGCTCCTCAACATCATGATGGAGTTGAAAAAAATCAGCAATCACCCGTACATGTTCCCCGGAGTTGAGGATAGAGTACTCGCCGGTAGCAAGCGCCGAGAGGACCAAATCAAGGGCCTAATCACCAGCAGCGGCAAGATGATGTTGCTTGATCAACTCCTAACCAAGCTCAAGAAGGACAACCATCGAGTGCTGATTTTCAGCCAGATGGTTCGAATGCTTGATATTTTGAGCGACTACCTTTCCTTTCGAGGCTACAAATTCCAGAGACTAGACGGCACTATCGCCGCGGGTCCTCGGCGGATGGCCATCAACCACTTCAACGCCGAGGATAGCGAGGATTTCTGCTTCCTCCTCTCTACCAGAGCAGGTGGTCTTGGCATCAATCTCATGACCGCCGATACTGTTATCATCTTCGACTCGGATTGGAATCCCCAGGCGGATTTGCAGGCCATGGCTCGAGCCCATCGGATCGGCCAGAAAAAGCCTGTCAATATCTATCGGCTTGTCTCTAAGGAAACCGTCGAAGAAGAGGTGCTAGAACGCGCTCGCAACAAGCTTCTCTTGGAGTACCTTACTATTCAGGCTGGTGTGACCGACGAAGGCAAAGCGTTCCGAGAGGAATTCAACAAGAAAGGTCTCAAGGTCGATGGGCCTAGCTCGGCAGAGGATATCCAATGGGTCCTCAAAATGCGTTCGCAAAAGATGTTTGAGCAGACCGGTAACCAAGAACGTCTTGAGCAGCTCGACATTGACTCTATCCTGGAGAACGCCGAGGTTACAAAGACTAAGGTTGATGATAAGATTAATCTCAGCAGTGGCGGAATTGACTGGGATAACTTCATGCAATACACCGATGTCAAGGTCGATGATATTGCCCTTGACTGGGACGAAATCATCCCCGCCGAACGCCTCGAAGAGATCAAGGCCGAGGAGGACAAGAGGAAGCACGACGAATACCTCAGCCAACTTGCAGAAGAAAATGCGCCTCGACGCGCCGCAATGAAGAATCGCAATACTGAGTCCGACAGAGCAGATCGCCTCGCAAAGAAGCGGGAGCGCCAAATGAAGAAGGAGCAAGATATCGCTAAACAGCGTGCCCTTTTGAGGGATCCCAAGCGGCCCCTTACCGAGAAGGAACAACGCAATCTCATTCGTGCATTCCAGCGGTTCGGCTGTATGGACGAGCGTGGCGACGAGATTGTCGAGGATGCGAAATTGGCTGATCGTGACCGCGAGTACCTCAAAGATTTCATTTCCGATTTCCTCAAGGCCTGTGAAAAGGCCGTAGAGGATAACAACAATAAGCTTGCCGAAGCCGAAAAGGAGGCGACTAAGGCTCTGACCAAGAAGGATAAGAAGGCAGTGTTGTTTGACTTCGCTGACCTGAAGAAGGTCAACGCCGAGACCCCCTTGGAAAGGCCACCTCAACTGCGCCTACTTCGCAAAACCATCAAGTCCCATGGCGATTGGAGAACATTCCGCTTGCTGGAGGCTTCCAAGGCAGCACATTATAGTTGCGCGTGGAGCGCACGGGAGGATGCTATGCTTCTCGTCGGTGTCGACAAGCATGGTTTCGGCGCCTGGCAGCAAATCCGCGACGATCCTGTGCTCGAGATGGGCGACAAACTCTTCCTCGAGGAACATCGCATCGAAAAGAAGACGGAAAGGGACAAGGCAGGTGACAAAAAAATGAAGGCGCCTGGATCCGTTCACCTCGGCCGCCGCACCGAGTACCTTTTGTCCGTGCTCCAGGCTAAGTACACCAATGATCCAGTGGCGCAGAGAGCTGTAGAGGGCCACCACCGAACCAAGAAGCAATCCCTCACAAACGGCCACCGCGCGTCTCCCGCCCCAGGTATGGCCCGCAAAGGAAGTCTCCAACGTGATCGCGACAGAGACTTGGACCGCCGCCGCTCTCACAGCATTACGGACGATCGTGACGTGCCTCGGTCTGAGCTGAAGCGTAAACACAGTCACAAGAAGGATCACGATCGTGACCGGCCATCCAAATCCCGCCGTGCTGAAGACCCAAGGCGCCCCAGGGCCTATGAAGATGATGACTCCCCTCGACCGGAGAAGCGTAGGCGACGAGACGATAGGGATGACCGCACACCGCTCAAGCATAGAAGGACCCAAGAATCGCCTCGCCGGTACTCGGATGATCCTCGAAGGCGAGATGATCGTGATCGTAAAGAACATGATAGACCTAGCGACGAACGCAGGCGCGAGGGACATCGCCACACGGGTGATGACCACCGATCGAAGGCCTTGAAACGATTGGCCCATCTCCGCCGTTTGGGCGACTCGCCGGAAGAGAGAAACAACGATGAAGATGCAATGCTCTGGTTCCTACTGAAGCCCGTCAGGAACAACTTCGAACGGATTCTTTCCACTACTAAGGAAACCGTCAAATCGAATAAGGAGCGCGCTGCCATCTTCGGCCGAGAACTCGTGGTCATTGGAGACTTCCTGAGTGAGAAGTCCAGAGCCGACAAGCTTCCTCAAGCTCTTGTCGATCGATTTTGGTATGTGATATATTACAACTTGTTATTTTCTGGCGTTTCAAGACTAACAGACTTCCGTAGGGACTTTTTAGGAAGCCTCTGGCCCATTGAAAGCAGCAAAGGATCGACAATCGATGGCACTAAACTCAGCTCCATGTACAAGAAGCTTCTATCACAGAAGACGAAGGGCCCGCAAGAAGGTTCTGGTCAATTTGCTGGTCGCAGCAACGGTACACCGTCGAAGGCCAGGAACTGAAAACTGAAGTCGATCGGGAGTCTCGAACATCGAAAACGGTAGAACACACGACGTATACAATCACGACACCTCATAAATTCGACGCTGGCAATAATCCTCACCCTCGAGGAGCTGTATCCAGGATCGAGCTGTTTAGCGTTTCAGCCCTTTCTGCCCGCTTCCTTACGACATTCCCACTTTATCTCTACCTCTCCTCCCCCAAGAAAAAGAAGAAAAAAAAAAACAGGAGTGTGACGATTTCTGGCGATGGTCTTTTACATTTGCTGCATAGGTTTGGCGTCTGGTACCAATCTCTACGTCTTTACGTCTTTTTGATGTTTTTTTTTTCTTCCTCGCTTTTCTTTCCCAGCATTATTCGTGTGCGAGGTGCGTGGATAAACAAAGAATCAAGCAAGCGTCTAGTCTACATACCCATTTCTCGAACTTTGCATTGTACAAGGGGCATGGGTTTTAAACGAATGGAAAGCCAGTGTTTTCTTTTTTTCTTTTTTTCTTTTTCGCTCTAGGTGGAATCATATGTGTTTTCTCCATCGTCTTGCTGGAAAGGGTTTAGACAAACATCAAAGAAAGGGGTTCGAGTGTTTTTTTTTCCCGAAGTTTAATTGCTATGCTGATGAAGAGAAGGAGATGGTACCATGAAAGGCGCGGCCAGTGGGGACTCGGTCCTGCTGTGTTAACTTTTTTGCTTGACGTTTTATAGGCATGATACAAAGGAATGGAGAGTTGGGAGATGGTGGGTCTCTCTGACTGACTCTTGTCATGAAGTTTTTACCTTGCTCTCTTGGTGTTGATGATGTAGTACCTCAATCCTCTTACAACAATGTTGATGTCGGGCCATCCCTCGAGGCCTAGAGCTAGGATGTTTTGAGAGAGGTAATAGAGCCAGACAGCTTGTCTTACTTCGGCTTCCCCCCTTTTTGTTTTCTCGTACTACAGGGCTACCCTCATATACTCTACAGTATTACCCAACTTCGAATTTAGGGCATTTCCGAGCCCTGTACAGCAGGCACAAGCACCTTTTTGAACGGGACGTCGTCGAGGTCACCTGACTTGCGAATCAGAGGTCGCCTCGGTCCGCACCTGAGGATACATTTTTAAGTAGGGAGGATGTAGGCGCTACGGATGCTAGCATTGGGTCCAGAGGAAGTGAAGCGAAAGAACGAACTCTTCGATTCCAAGTCCTCTATTTTAGAGTACACTGTTCCCAATCCTTCTTCTAGAGTTACAATCCTGTCTAGAACCATGAAAAGAAAAGTGAAGAGTACAGAAAAAGAAGAAAAGAACAAAACAACCGAGCAGGCCCTCGAATGGGGCCCGCGTCTATCCTTGCTCCTCGAGAATGGATTTTCATGAATGCACCAGTTTCTGAATAATGATATCAATGATATTTGGGGGGAATGGGGCGTCGGTTACTTGACGGACGGAGCCCAGTCTATCGAAAGCAGACAACTAAACAATCCCCTTTGCAGTCCGTAGGAAAAGAAATCACATAAAATATATCTAATATGTACAGGTCTTTTATTTTTCTATTTTTCTTCTCTTTGGGGATCAAGAGGAAGCCGGAAGTCCGGTAACGGCACGCCTCGCCAGCGTAGGAGAAGACGGAGTGTCATCCCCGTCACTGCTTGCGGTAGTGGCGGCGGAATCGCCTCGAGTCTCGCACGTGAAAACGAAGTTGTCAGAAGCCCGGCGGGGAGGTCGAAGTTCGGGGAGCGTCTTATAGTCGGAAAAGTCGGGGGACGAGGAGAGAGAAGTAAGCGACGAGGTATCGGAGTCGACAGCAGCCGCACTGCTCCTCCTGGAGGTGGAGAAGCCGTTGCCACTCGTGATCTTCTTGCCGAGCTTGGTGGGTTGGAAAGCCGCGTTCTTGACCATTTTGAACGTGTTGTCGAGGGCGTTCTTGGGAGGAGCAGCCTGCTTTGGCTTCTTCGATCGGGGGACACGGGGTTTCGCGGGTGCCTTCGTCTTCTTCGAACCGGGCTTGTTGTTCGCGGGGAGGGCGGAGCTCGTGGACTTGGCAAAGGACAACTTCGTTTGGGCCTTGATACCGATCTTGCCAGGCGCGACGGCCGGAGGCTTGGGGCTCGCCCGCGGTGTGGGAATTCCCTGAGCCTGTTCCACGAGCCTGGACAGGGCCTCCTCGCCAATGTTGGCGTCGTCGTAGGTTGTCGCCTGGGAAGACGTTGGTGAAAGGCATACCTCGACCTTGCTGCGCTTGAGCATCTCCACCCGAAGCTTCTGACCTTCTTCGTTGAGCTCGGCATTCTCGCTGATGTCCATGTCGTCGTCCCAGTGGGGTAGATGTGCTAATTCTGCCACATCATCGCACCTGGCCTTTACGATGAGATCCCAACAGTCCTTGAACTCGACACCGGAAGGCTCAGCATCGAGGTTGATCCAGGCGGTGAATCCGTCCCTTCGACCCCTCGTGACCTGGCAGAACTCCTTTACGAGGCGACGCACGCCCGGAATCTTGAGGCTCGTGCCAACAACGAGGACGGCGTCGGGGCGGTTGCGCAAGTCAGCCATACTGACGTTGCCAATGGCCTCCTCGTCCGGATTTGATTCATTGTAAAGCACAATTCGTGGTCGGATACGGCCGACGCCCTGCCTGCGTTTATTGGCGAACTTCATCCGGAGTTCCTCCTGCGTTAGGCACGTGTTGCACAAGGGGGCTTCGTGGCTGGTGAATCGATCGCCGTCAAAGGGTTCGAGTTGACCGCACTTCGTGCATACCATCTTCTCCAGGCCGCCGTGGAGCTGAATGGTGACGGGCCAAGGGCCCTTGACATTTAGAGGCACGTTCGTGGAAAGGGGCTTCATGTTGGTATCGATGCAATCCACGTTCTGCGTATACAGGCGCATTAACCGGCCTTCGGCGGCTAGGGAGGCGAGAAGGTGGTGGAAAGGTGTGGGCTTCGCCTTGCTCGTCATGGCGGCCAGTTCGCGGACCATGGTGTGGAAGGATTGCGTGGAGGAATCGTCGCGGTAAACGGCAGCATCAAACAAGTGTTTGCCAGAACCTTTCAGTTTATGCTGCGTCTTGAGCGTTGCAAAAAGACCAGAACTGGATCGGAAATCGGGAATTCCGGCGGAGACAGAAATACCAGCACCTGCAATAACGACAATCTTCTTCTTTTTCCGTAGAACTTTGAGTAGACGCTCTAATTGGATCGACTCATCACTCGTCTTGTCTTCGAGGATTTCGTGAATGTTGTGGAGGTCCAAGTATTCTGTTGTACGTGGCTTGGGTTGAGTAATCCTGCGCTTTTTAGCTGGAGGTGGGCCATCGGTAGTCGTGGATTCAGATACGCTGACGCAAATTTCGTCGCTGGGGAAAGAATCGCTCGATTGGCTCGTCGGCTTGACGGGAGACTGGGAACCCGACAATGTCGTCGTGGCAGAAGGAGACGGGTAGTCGCCGATAGAGATGGAGTTATCCATGCTGGGCGGGCTCGCAGGTAGCGAAGGCGATTTGGAGAGAACGGAAAGGGGTGATGAAGGCAGGGAGGAGGGCGTGGGCGAGCTGGACGCTGGAGGAGTAGATGTCTGACCAGGTTCGCGGTGGTCGCCCTCGCGTCTTGGAACGACCTCGGGGGCCGGAGAGGAAGATAATTGGGACATCAATCGCGAGTTGTGGGTGCAGTGCGCGACAGAGAACCGTCTCAAGAAAGGGGACGCGTTTTTGGGGGTGATGGAAATGGGAAATGGAAGAGAAGGGGGGGGGGGGGGGGGGGAAGAACTAAGGATGAGGGAAAAGAGATGAGGGAAGAGGGAAACGGATGTGAAGGGGGCTAGCCGGGTCTCTTTAGTTGTCGGGCATAGTTTATTTTATTCTATTCTTATTTTTCTCTTCTTTTGGCTCCTCAGCACTTTGTCATCATGGCGTGAAGAGGTGAGGGAAATGGGTTTGAATTAGAGCGTGGCGGTCGTTGTTAGGTCGGGCGGGAGCGTATAAGGTAGGTTGGGAGGGAAATAGTATTGTAGAAATAGAAACTAGAAGTGTGAAACTGTCCGAGGCCCAAAGGTGAAGAGTGGGCGGGTATGAACTCGGAGTTGCTCGAACCTCGTGTGGGCAAGAATCGGGTGGTGTCCGGAGTAAAGAGGGTTGAGAGGAGAGAAGAGGAAAAGGAAGAGGAAACAGGAAGAGTGTGTACTGTATTGGGAGCCGGAAAGACGTGAGAGGGGCAGAGGCAATGGTGGGAGACCAAGAGCGGAGAGAAGAGGAGCTAGAAAGGGGGATAGAAACAGAGAAGGACGGGAGGAAAATGTCGATGCGCGGGCCAGTGCTGGATCAAGTCAGGAGGGACGTGGGCGTTGAAGGCGATGGAGCACCGAGGAGAGAGGATGGGAGGATTGATGGTACTGGATCAACGGCTTTTGTTTACAAAGTCGGAGTAATTACTTCAGATGCTGTATGGCACTGGTGTGGGATTGGGATATCGTATCGTCATTGAATGGTTCGAATATAAATTATTTTGGTTTCCGATTTTCTTAGTCTAGTTTCGGTTTCCGTCGTCCTGTGATCGGGCCGGGCGAGGGATGGGATGAGAAACAAGAGCGCTAGGAAAGAAAATGATTGGGGATGGGCACTTGGGGGAGATGGCGGGAGTAGGAAGAGCAGCAAGAGGCGGAGAGGATAAGCATCGACAGGGTTTGGTTATTTTGATTTTTATTCTCTCTCTCCTCGCGCTCTTTTTTGTTAGTACAAGTAATTGTATGTGCGCTCTACAAAGTCGGCTCGGACGGCGCAACTTGGGCTCTTCAAATACTACAATTGTATCAACTTTAGAGTACGGATGACGAAGGCCAGTCGAGGGTAGGTACAATTGTACTTTTAACTTCCATCGGGAGGTTATATTTTCCCTATCCCACAAGTCTTGATCCGTGAATTATTGCCTCGTTACGAAGTACTTGTCCTTGTATTATTTCGAAAAGCGAAGTAACGATGGGATGAACAATGGACCAGGCTCGCCGGTTGAAGAAAAGAGCCTTGAAGAGCCGGGCGCGGTCGGGCTCGAGCCTTATTCTCGCTGGCCCAAGGAAGGAAGAAGGAGCATTAAAATTCGAGCAACAGTTGTCCATTTTGCCTGTGTCTTTGCCACTTGGACGTTTTTTTAACGGACAACATTGAAAGATGTCGTCTCAAACTAGCTTGGCTCCGGCGGTTTAAAACCAAATGCATCATGTGGCGTTGCACAGTTTGATCTAGCATGGCCAAACAAAAGGACCAGGAATCCCGAATGTTGCAATTCGGACAATAATACTTCGTAATGTTTAGATCGAGGAGATGAAGTGCTCTGTAACAAGTGGTGGTTGTGGAAGCCGGGGAAGGCTAAGTCTGCGACTTGCCCGTTGTCGTTTGAACATCGGACAAACAGGGGAGAGAGAGCATACATTCTCCTGCGAATGGGGAAGGTAAAAACAACAGTTACAGACGCCTACCCTCTGCGGCATCACCGGTATAGATACTTATGCATAAGTATCACTTGTAATACATTTCTGTAGAAACTTTGTATCCTGACGTTCCTTCCCTGCATGCATCCAAATGAAAACAACAGCAAGGGAACTGCGTTGCTGGGCCCACGACCCAAATCTAGCCAGTCACAGACAACGCCATTCCTATTTTGTCTTCGAAGTACATGTGAGCCGGTGGCCAGAACTGATCAAATGTCGTGCATCCAGGGAATCTGCTTAGGTAATGACATTTTCTTCTCGACCTGCCTGTGCTCAAGTCAGAGACAACATCGAAGTACAAAGTAGTTCACACAGATTGGCAGATGCCTACATTATTTTGTGCTTGGGAGAAATGGCCGGGCCAGCTTGAAATCATCAAATGCTTTATCTCCTAAATCTGTTTGTTGTATAAAAATGTTTGAGTACAACTTCAAAATGAGCAGAGGAACTACAAATCTAACACTTGAGTTTAGCACTGGGGATATATGAGAGGGCCTGGCCAGCAGTGTGCACTACACAGTACAGGTAGTTCGATGGTTGTTCTGTAAAACAGCCTCAATTGAAACCTGCTCTCAAGCCACACCTCTGCACTTTATGCCGCACTTATGCAGTGACAAGCCCCTGCTGCACATTCTTGTACATCAAAGTGTCATTGAATGTTGCACACTCTTTATGGATTACCTCACCAGCCTTTATTAGGTGCCTCTTCAATGAGCCTCAACTCTTTATCAACCACTCATTTAGAACGCCTGCTTGAATATCTCCATCACTTATTTTCTCGTTTTCAAGGTCTTTTATCTAATCACCTCTTGCTCCATATACTCTCTAGCACATAGTGCCTGCCTGAATTAACCTTGTGGAGGCTACCAAGGCTCTTATGAGAGTGTTGATCAGCTCAAGCTCTTTCTCACCTGGAGCTATGTGAGGCCTCAGCTGCCTCTCTCTTCAGCTCAACTTGGCGATGTCTTAATGTCCTTTACTTTCATGAAACCACATATCCCCCAGATATATAGAGCCTGAATCAACAGTGACACTCGGCCTCCATCATTAATAGCCTTTAGTCCACTCCAACCTTCATGCACCTTCGAGTCCGACTGCCCTACCCACAACCTCACACTCCGCGAGGACACTCCCTCGACTCTCAAACTTGATTAAGCCGACCCCACTCTGAAAGAGGCAATAGTTGTTTGTCTATCCAAACGCTCACTTCACTCCTTCGGCTCCCATCCCATACTTCTCAGGCCTAACCTTTTAATGTTATACCCTTTATTATCTTGTCTCTTTTCCCTTTAAAAATGGCCATGCAAACCGATACCCAGCCGACATCCAACAGGATGCCTTTCCTCGAGAACCCTTTGCCCACTGTTCTTCCTGATGTCGATGATCTTTTTGGTGGAGAAGGTCCCGTCAACCTCGCATTATCACCCCCAAGTAAAGAGCTCCGTCAACGGGTGGATGATCTTCGCCGCCGAGGATGCTGCCAGTATGGTACCCCTCCCTTTTGGCTTTGTGTGCAGGTTTGGCTAATATTCTGTGTCCCAGGACCGTTGCGTGGTCCAAGGCTGGCATCATTGCCTCCATCACCCCAGAAGGCCACTTTGTCGAGGTGAGATTCGTTCGCTGTCACCCAGACGATGGATCCTGGGACCTAAGCGAAGCGACCCGTTGTGATCTCGTGACGGGCTCCGACTCTATTCCCCTGGTCCATCTCGTATGGAGCTCTACTAGCATCCCGGAATTGGCCGTGCTAGATGCCGTTGGCCGGCTTGTCCTTCTAACCTTCTCAACTACCCTCAACAAGCCTTACATGTCCCGTAGGTGGGATGGTGACCCCGTCGACGACCTCAATGCCGTTGTCGGCTGCCATTGGTTGGGCCTCATATCGCCGAGCCGTCCTTTCAACGTCTTGCATGGACCCGCCATCAAGGAAAACAACCGATACCGCTACGATACCTCCTTTATCCACAGCTTCGGGCCCTCTCATCCTAGCCCGTCCAAGAGCTCACTACTATGCGTCACCACCAACGGCCAGATCAGGCTATTCTATTCCCAGAATAACAACAGGATCGAGGAGACCACAACAGATATTGAAAGAATCGGCAGTACCGATGACATGGTTACCCACGCTTCCATCTGCGCCCACAAGAGTGAGTTGACCGCACGTCGTATCAAGTCGACATTTCCACGAATATGTTCCCAAGACCACCTCACTGACCCCGTCGCTAGCCTTCCTGTACCTCGCCCTAGCCACGGCATCCCGGCAGCTTAAGCTTGTTAAGCTCACGTTGCAATGGGGGCATTCACAGGGGGATAAACATCCTGCTCCGGGCGTCCCCTTGAACCCTTCGCTAGTCGAGCGCCATCTAGCGTCCACAAGCTGGCATCAATATGGGCCCAATGACTCCCCCTTTGACTCCGCCATGACCCAGATCTCACTTCTGGAAATTCTTCCTTCAACTCTTGAGAACGACGCCCAGTCATGGTCACCCCCACTTATTCTCACTGTCCGATCCTATCTACCCTCTGCCGACTCACCCTACCAAGAGGTCCATAGCATCGTCGACCGATGGCAAGTGTTAACCGACCAGCCCCAATCGATCCACCCAGCCTTCTCTTCGTTAGGTGGCCAGAAACAGAGCTCTACCCCAGATCCGCAGGTACGTTGAACCCGCCACCACTGCACCATACTCGTCAGTTTACGTTTTGCTTCTCTACGGAATTCTGACTTACATCAAACCTCATCCGTAGCCGACCACGCGACTCCAACGCGGAGAGCCACTAACTTTCAACAAAGTCATTGTGGGTATTCAAACCTTGCAATTCGGCAAGGTTATATGCATCAGCTTTTCGGACGGTACTCTTGAGTACCGTGACCGTCTCACGCTGAATGAGATATACAACGAGCCCAACATAGAACGGATCATGAATTTGCACCAAGTCGGATTCACCTTTCCCGATCCCACACCTTGTAAGCAAGCAAACCCGCCTTTTCACAACCACAATTTTGTTTCCTCTTTGCTCTTGTGGGTGTTGACCCATATCTCGACGCGCAGGTCTTCAACTCTTGCTTTCGCCTACGAACTGCTCCCTAGTGCAAGTTTGCCCCAATGGCGAGCTGAAATGGAAACACCTCCAGTATGCTCAGGAAGACATCGGCAACTCGACTCAAGATCGTAAGGTTATCTGCAACCCCGTTGATTTCGTCTCTTCTAACTTCCAATCAGCACAATATTCGCCAGCCATTGCGGCCCTAACAGTTGCAACGGGTGCAGCGATCTATTACATGTCAAGCTTTGATGATGTTTTGGCCGTAGCCCGGCCATTCTCCCAGAAGAAGCGTAGGTTCCCGTGCCATCTGTAGCTTTTTTTTTGTCCTCCTTTCTTTTTTTCCTCATTTTGTAGACGCCGGGCTGCTAATCTTGGGACAGGATTCAACTATGACTTTGCTACTGACATAGTGTCGATGCTTAAATTCTCGATCGACTACTCCGAGGACAGCCACCATGACAACCTTGTGAGAAACACTCATCTACAGATGTGTCTTAGCATCATTGGCAATCTCGGTTTCCGTGGCCAATATAACCCGCGGAGCTTTGGAAGCAAGTTCGCCACTCTAGCCTTGAATGCCAGAAACATTGTCATCCTCGTTACAATAGCGAGTAATACTCCGCAAAATCTACGGGAGAAACTGAGCCCGTTAGATGAACCCGGTAAGATGGTTAATACCCATGCGCACTGCCCTCCATCCTCTTTGTCGTATTCACGATGTGAAGCTGCAGTTCTGAACTCCTCAATTTTACTAACAAAACTGATGCAGAGGTGGTTGAAGCTCTCGCAGGATGCGCCAAGTGGTCAATTGATCTTTTGTCGTGGCTAGCAGACAGTCTGTTCTCGTTACTCGATGATTCAAAGTTCACCGCTTTGGTCAGGGAGCCCAGCAAGTTTGCTGCTGTATCAGCATATCTACAAGAGAAGAACGACGTAGCTTTACACCTTCTTTTGTGTTCGTCGACCAGAGGTTTCCTTGTCGCGGTGTGCCGGCGACTTCAACATCTTGACGCCCTCGGTAACCGCGTCATTGGCTTCTGGGAAACACAAGCCCAACAGGGGCAGGCCGACGCTAAGACGTCGAATCTTGCCCTGCACAGGGCCTATCAGCGAATGCAGCAGATTACGTCGTCGAGCCTCGTGAAGGCGCAAGACTTTGAGAAGCTTTTGACTCAGTTGGGCAACGACATCCGCTCCACATATACGGGGATGCTGGTGGTAATGGTTAGCAAGGCGGCTGGACAGCCACCTCCCCAGCCGGGCGCCGCCATCCCCAAGCAGCTCGACGCCATGATAAAACAAGCGCAGATGCAGTGCGAGCTCGCTATGCTCCTCGGCGGCACTATCAATCCCATGTTCCGCAAGGCACTTATGCAGTTCTTTGGGACTCATCTCTCAACCTTCAAGGCAACGGTGGACCCTGCCAAGCTCTTCTTCCATGACTACTCGCTCTTGGAGGTTGCCGCGGATAGCCCGGAGAGTCTGGCGAGGAAGCGGTCGCTGGCGCTCTACGTCGACATGTTCAGAAAGGTGGAGATTTCTCCGGGACAGGCCGAGACACATCAACATCGGCAGCAACAGCAGCAGCAGGCGAACGGAGGAGCGCGAACGATGGGGCTAGTGTGGAGTGGACAGTGGAGGCGTTGCGTTCGGTGCGCGTCCGTGATGGAGGACGTGTCGAACCCGAGGCATGGGTTTTCGTACGTCTTGTCGCAGCAGAGGAAGTGTGCTTGTGGAGGGAGTTGGGGCTTGTTGCCAAAAGGGGGGCTTGTTAGCTGAGGAGCGAGGTGTTCCTCGTCGGGGGCGTGTGGTTAAGGCTTTTGCGGTGGTCGAAGACTTTTATCCTGGACTGGAAATACAAGGACGGGAAGAGTGAGCAGGCTTCTGTTCAATACCGCTTGATATTGCCCCAGAGATTTGACTCCTTTTTGCGGGCACTTGTAACCTGAGGCCGGCTTGTTATTGGGGACACATTCTGACGTGAAGTGCGTAATTTTACTACAAATAGCGAATCATTAAAAAGGGTTGAGGAGCGTAGATACCATTCACATTCCCGCTGGACAAATAGGATCATCGTTATCATAGGTTCTATTCACGAGGCGTATCAGCTCGACAAGAGTCAAGCTACCAAAAAAGAGGTTTCATTTGTATCGCTGAGGCTAGAGATGTCATGCGCTCGACTTCGCTTAGGGGGCGCAATCATTCTAACTTTTGAAGAGATACCATACTTACTTGACTTTAAATACGGAGCCATTGTCTCATCGATTTCTCTCGCAAGTACGAAGTATTTTAGTCCAATTCTCCTTGGCTAATTTGATGTTGTCCCATGGTGTCTTAATTGCTGACTAAGATCCCTCTTGACAGGTACCTCGGTACAATAAAGTACAGTGCGGTTATGGTGGCGGCGGAACAGTGCGAATCATGTTGCAGAAACCAGACTTCAGCCTGAATTGCTGAATAATCCAAAGCGCTGGGTGGCACAGCACAGTTGCAGCAGCTGGGATCTTGGAATCGGCTGGAGTTGGAGAGAATTAGCCCACGTGACCTTCTGTCAGGCTTAAGTAGGCGCCCCCATCAGCAGGACAAAGAGGACAATGAATTGCAACAGTAAGGCGAGGTGTGGCGCCTGTGTGATTTTGCATTTGCCCCCTGCCGTCATTCTCCAAGACAGCATCCTGACAAGAAAGAAAAAAAAAAACATCACCCTCCTTTGGAGCCCATCACCACTTAATCTGCCCTTTTCAACGCGATAAACGCGATCCGGGGTGACCTTCTATCTACAAATTATCCTATCCTCTGGCCTCATTCAATCATCGTCGCGACCGACCCTAATTCCCCTCCCTCTTAACTCGAAACTTTTCTTCACAGTTTTCCAACGACGATCCCTCAACCTCCCTCTTTGAAACCCTCGCGACTTCAGCTTCCCTCGAGAGTTCTCACACAAGAAGTATCTCGCCTCGCATCGTCTGTGCCGACCCGCCTAGGCATAATTGTATCTATTCCTCCAGAAGCGACTCGTTCCCAAGTTGGTCCCGCCGGTTCGTCGCGCTGGTGTGGATAGCCCGCCCACAATGACTATCGAAGTCTCGCTCCATTCGCCGTTGGCCGAAGCCATCAACGCCGCCATCCAGCCCAAGCTCCTCGAGGTCGGCTGGGGTACGGGAGGTCAAGACGATGCCGCGCTCGCCGAATACATCGTCCTCATGCTCGTCAATGGCAAGACACAAGACGAAATCGCCTCCGACATCTCGGGCGAGATCCTCGGCCTCCCCAACGACCCCGTCGCCAAAGAGTTCTCGGCTTGGTTATTTGGTGAAATAGAATCGCTCAATTCACAGATTAATGGCGCGCGTCAATCTGCGCCCGTTAGCGATGCTATGCAGATATCAGGTCCCGATGGCGATGTTTCTCAAGCTACCGCAGGAGTAATAAGCGCGTACGTGATTTATCCTTTGTCTCCTTGGCACTCCCCACATTCCTCCCTTGACGTCTCCAATAAACTTAGATCAGAAACTAACTTGTTTCCTTACTTCAGACCCACCGGTCCGCGTTCTATGCGAAACGGAAACAACCCAAGAGGTGGTCGCGACAAGCGAATGTTTGGACAAATGAATAAGGCTATGGACCGATCTCATGACTCCATCCTCCACCGAGTCCGGACACAGACCGGCAACGAGCGCATCTCTCGTGGACCCCCCACCGGCCCTCGCGGCGGAATGAATAGGCAACAACAGCAGCGACATCAAAACGGCCGCGCGGCGAATGTCCAGGCCGGAATGTATGCCGCTCTCGCCTCGGGTCACGGCATGGGCGGTGGTCAGATGCCCGGTATGCCCGGCCCCAACGGCATGCCCTGGGGAATGGTATCGGAACAGCCATCTTCAGCGGAGCTCATGAACCTCCTACAACAGCAGTCGCAAATGATGCAACAGATTTCGCAGCAGATGATGACGCAAGGATTCCAGAATCCTCGTCACGGAAGGCAACAACAGCACCGTGGAGACAGGGGCAACTTCCGCCGAGGCGGTGGTCACATTCAGCAGCAGGGTCATCGCGCCGCCGCCGCTGCGAGCCAAACCGAAAGGGAATCTACGGCAGGGGAAAGCGGCGACAAGGATGTCGACATGGGTGGATCCAAGGCAGAGCCCACGAATCCCCAAGAAAAGGTGTGCTCGTACAACCTGAAATGTCTCAACAAAGATTGCAAGTTCGCGCACCAGTCCCCCGCCGCGCCTCCCGGTATCACGATCGACCTCGAAGACGTCTGCACCTTCGGAGCAGCCTGCAAAAACTGGAAGTGTGTCGGTCGCCACCCCTCCCCCGCCGCGCGGTTGGCACACCAGGGCGAGCAGGATTGCAAGTTCTACCCCAACTGCCAGAACCCCCGCTGTCCCTTTAGGCACCCCGCCATGCCCCTCTGCCGCAACGGCGCGGACTGCACGACGCCCGGGTGCAAGTTTACGCACATCAAGACGAAGTGCAAGTACACGCCTTGCCTTAACCCCACCTGCCCGTTCGTTCACGAAGAGGGTCAACAGGGTGGCTTCAAGGATAAGGTCTGGACGGCCGAATCATCGGCGGAGCACGTCAGCGAGCGCAAGTTTGTTGATGAGAACTCGTTGGTGGAGATGGTCCTGGCCGAGGAGGGGGCGCGCAATGGTGATGAGGAGAATGCTGATGGTATACAATAAAGCCAAAAGCATGGATTGCTTGCCTCGCTCCGGCTTGGTTTTGTATTCGGAAGGGGGAAGAAAAAAGAAAACTAGGAAACACATTACGACGATGGCTTATAAAGAGGGAGACCGAGAGAGGGTCCCTTTTGAGGAGATGGTTCCTGACAGCGTTACGGAAAGAAAAGAAGAAAAACGCTTTTTATTTATTAGATGAGGATGGGCGATGGCTTTTGAATGTACATTAGGGAAATATCAGAAGAAGGGACCGGGCTGGTCGCGGGTGACGACAAGATGGCCCAGCTGGACGATGAAAAACTGCATACCAGGAGTTTGGAAGGGGTTATGTTCTTTTTGTTTTGAAACTATTTTTTTTTCTTTTTTCTTTACTGTCACAAGTTTCTTTTCTTGTTCCTGTGTTTCTTCTTCGAAAAGGTCATTTTCTTTTGGACGGTTTCAACTCCTCTTGACCCTCCTTTTCTCTTCGAAGGGGAGGACGCTCTAGAGGGGACTAAGGAAAGCGAAAACCAGCACATTGGTGAGGGGGAGTGATGAAGTGGAGGAGAGGCGAGCTACACGAGTCGACGGATCCTGCTGGTCATGGACCTTTGGGAGAGGATGATCTCGTTCGCTGGGGGGACATATCGCGATGATGGCCTTGAGGTTGGAAGGGAAGACTGGCGAGGGGAGGGTTGAATTCAATATGAGCTGTTTTTTTCTTCTCGCCTCTAAGAGGCGAGGTTTCCTTGGTAGCACTTTGTGAGAGCTCCGCCTCTCTTCCTCTCTCTTGCTCTTGAGTGACATGTATGCCGTGATTCTTAATTGTAGAATGTTGAAGTCGGGGGCAGAAAGCTCAGGCTGAGACACCTTGTCGACGACCAGTCGCATACATCCTTTCGCCAGATATTCCACTTCCAATGCTCTCCTAATAAAATTGATGATTGGAATCCAAAATAACTCTCGGATTTTCTTCGCGGCGGTTTGTTATGGGACAATTTCAAGGCCAATTGATTGTACTCTGTAGGTCTCGCCCTCGGAGAAGCTTCGACCGAATCGTCGACACCGCCCAAAATCAGCCCACATCAACTTTCTAGGCTCAACATTTCCGTTCGCTTTTGACCACACCTTTCCTTTCCTCTCCCCTCCCCTCCCCAAACACATACTCCTTTTCCCTTCTCTACCCCAATGCTTTAGCTTTTGCTTGCGCCAAAACAGACGGTCACAATGGACATCACCCGCGTCTGTCCCAGCTGCCTCCGCCAAGCGATGGCGCGCACGACCACCGCGCCCCGTCTTACCGTCGCAAGCCGCCGCCGACTCGTGCCCGTGCCTCCTCTACGCCGCACCGCCCTATATCGATCCCAAAACGGGTCAATTGATGGCGGTCGAAGGGGATACACCACCGCGTCTTCCGCTTCTCCGCCCCCGCCGGAGAACGTGGCCGTTATCGGGGGCGGCATCACGGGCCTAACGACGGCGTACTATCTCGCCAAATTCCTGCCCGCAACGTCGAAGATTACTCTGTACGAGGCCCGCGATAGAGTTGGTGGGTGGATACATACGGTAAAGAAGGAGGCGCCGGACGGACAGCCCGTGTATTTTGAGAATGGGCCAAGGATACTTCGTGGTCTGGCCGGGTCGGGGTTCCGCGCTGACGACTACGTCTTTTACGATATGGTGAGCGCGCATCTATCTTCTGAACTCAGAGAGAGAGAGAGAGAGAGAGACTCCTTGAAGTATAGCTACTAGAACTAACTTTCCAACAGCTCGCCGACCTCAACCTCCCCCTCAAAATCTCCCCGCCACGCAACAAACTCCTCTGCTACAACGACGAACTCGTCCGCCTACCCCCCAACATCCTCAACCCCTTCACGGCGCTCAAAACCTCGTGGCAACTCCTCCGCGGAACCCACGTAGTCAGCGGCATGACATCGGCAGCCCTGGCGTACCGCCGCGCGAACATGCGCAACTTGCCACACGAGGCCGTGGAGCAGGACGTTTCTATCGGCGACTGGCTGCGCATGACGTTTGGCGATGCGCCGGCGCCGCGGAACGTGTTGTCGGCTATGATGCATGGGATATACGGGGGCAACTTGGATAAGTTGAGTTTTCCGAGCGTTATGCCTGCGTTTTGGTATAATTTCCACTTGGAGAAGGGCGTGGATGAGGTGCTTATCCCGCGCGGGGATTATGAGCTTTTGAAGGAGCTGGATCCGAGGAAGAGGGGGATTGAGGAGGAGGTGAGGGCTTGGTCGAAGGCGGAGGTGATTTCGTTTCCTGACGGGATGGGATCGCTCGCTTCCGCCATTCGAGATGAATTGGAAAAGAAGGCCAACGTAGTCTTGAAGCCTTCCACCCCTGTCTCCAAACTCCGCTACATCTCGGACCAGAACAAAGTCGAGCTCTCCACAACATCAGAGCCACCCTCCCTCCACGACAAAGTCATCTCCACAACCCCCAGCGGACTCCTCGCCCCCACCCTCCCCTCCCCAATCCCCCTCAACACCCGCGCCGTCACTATGCGCACCGTCTCCTTCTTCTTCCCACAACCCAACCTCACGACAAACCTCACGGGCTTCGGCTACCTCGTGCCCCTCACGAGCCCCAATCCCGAGCAGATCCTCGGCATGTTCTTCGACTCGGACACCTACGGCCTGCACGACGATGAGAAGCGCGGTACCAAAGTCACCGTCCTCATGGGCGGGCACTTCTGGTCCGAGCTGTCCGCGCAGGATATGCCCGGTGAGGAGGAATGCGTTCGGCGCGCGAGGCAGGTCCTTGCTCGACACGTCGGTATTACGCAGGAGCCCGAGATGACGCATCTTGGTCTCGCTAGCGGGTGCATACCGCAGCACGTCGTCTCGCACCGCGCCATCATGACGGCCGCCGACGAGGCTCTGCGGAGCCAGTTTAAGGGCAAGTTGGCCGTCGCGGGGGGGTCTTATACTGCTGTTGGAGTCATGCCCGCCATGAGGGCTGGGTACGATGTTGCGTGTGAGGTGGCTGGCGTTGGTGAGAGGGGGGAGACCGTTGGGGACACGGGGCTGGCGCAGTTTAGGGGGAGGCAGGGCGCGGATGTCATTGCTGTGCCCAGGGAAGAGTTGAATGCTTTGGGGAAGCAGTTGAGGGGGTCGAGTGCTGTGGGTAGATGGTTCTCGGGGAGGTAGAAGAGGAAGGAAGAACAGAGCCCGTTCTTGGAACCGGAAAAGAACTATACTAACAATTTTAGAGACATTGATGGGATTCTAGAGAGAGCGGGTGCGCACGAGGTTGACTCTTGTACAAAATGTATGCATATATGCTTCTTGGGAATACGAAGGACCCTCTGGATAGAAGAGAGATAGATTCTTAGATTCTCACTTTACTTCAACAAGCTTCACTCTTACTGGACGACATACCTCTCACACATACGAACAAAACGAAAGGCTAGATGCTAGCACACATAGAGTTGACTGGCTTATAATTTAGTTCAAGCCAAGCTATCGACTTATCTAGAGGTATCATCATATCAATACTGCCACCATTTCCTCCGTGGTCTCGCTTCGCCGTACCTAACCGATCAATAATAAAATGAACGCAATAACAGAAAGGCCTTTCCCTTTTTTCTGTTCGCTGAGACAACTGGCTTCGCTGGATCTTGTTTCTTTTCCTCCATCCTCGACCGGCATTAGAAGCAAAAGAAAGAAAAGTTGAAAAAAAAAATCACATGTACATGGAATCAACGACGTCATAGAAGTCGAGACCTTGAGGAGCTATATCGTGCGGGGGCTGGACGGAGAGAGCCACTCAAGCTCTAGTCAAGAGTCACCGGCTTTGCTCTACTCCCAACAGCCGAGGCCGCCGCCGCCTGTGCCGCACTCAGCTTACCCGCTGCCTGCGCATTGTTCGCTCCGGCGTTCGCACCAGAGCCTCCGCCTCCTATCACGGCCTCACGCACCATATGATCGAGTCCGAACAGCAGCTTGAGTGACTTATCGTCAATGTCCATGGCCGCACCCGAAGAGAGAGACCGCCAGGGAACGTTCTTAGCTTCCCACACTTTCCTTAAGCGCTGGTTGAAGAAGTCATTCTGTTCCTGGCCCGGCGCCGGCGGATCGGCCCGGGTGATGAACCACCAGAGTTTGCCGTTGCGAAGCTTCGCACGTACGTCGATTCCAAGAGCACGCGGCCGGTTCGGGGCTTCGGGCATTTCGTAGCAGAGCGTATACCAATCGAGGGACTTGGCGTTGATGATGAGGGTGCCCTTTCCGCGCTTGGCGATCTCCTTCCAGTTATTATGGAGCTTATCCAGGACGGTGAGGATATTGAGTGTCATAGGTAGAACGAGGGTGAGGTTCGAGATGCCATTGGGAGCGTTGAGGAGTGAAGACAGATGATCGAGGATCCGAATATGGGGGTTACCAATCTCGAGGTCCATAACCATGCGATCCTTCGACACGTCGAGCGAGACTCGCCACCGCTTCGCTCCCTCGGCACCGGAACCGTCTGAGTACGTGAAGACCACCTTGTCGAGCGTCACCTGCTCGCATTTAACTGTGTCCTTAGCGACGCTCATGGCGTCTAGCGAATTCACCACTCGGTCGATCGCTTGGAGCCTAGCCTTCAAAGTCGAAACGATGGAGGAGCCGACCTTGGTTCGCAATCGGACGCAGAACTCGCCCCTTCGTGAGTTATAATAAACATTATCTCCAAGCTTTCCGCTAAGCAGCGAAAACTTCTTCCTGTCAACCACGCGGATGATGGCATCCATACCATATGTTAGGTGACGCGCACCGGTACCTTCCCTTGTCTGAACCGAGTGTACTCCGGAATATCGAAGCTCGATATAGTCCATGGCCCAGGGCTTCCCGAAACCGGGTGATCTTCGTCTGGATTCGGACAGCCATGTGCTAATTGCGCCGGCGCCATGGTTTTCCTTTGACTCGGGAGACTGGGATGATCCGTCTTTAGCAGCTCCGGAGTCAAGGTGTGGTGTAGATCGGGGTTGCTCGCCATTGGTGAGCGACTGCAGCGCTCTGTTGGCGGCTGTGGGTAATACATCCGAGAGTTTAACAAAGATGGATGGAACCACAACCTCATTAGGAAGGGAGAAATTCTTCCTTGTGCGCCTCTCATATCGGAGTTTGTTGTGGTGCAACTCGGCCAAATCTGTGGCATGCGCAATAACGCCGGTGACAAAGGTGGTCAAGTTGCTCCAGAATGGACCTTCGAGTCCGGGCTGGGCCAATTGAAGCCGAAGCTTCGCATAGAATCCGATTGAACGAGCTGTGGTCCTCGGCTCATCGCTAGAAGAAGAAAATCAGAATCAGAATCGGTAGCTAGAAATAACAATTTTCGGAAAAAGTAGAGAAAAAAAAGGACTTACGACCTGAATATCCACCATTCATCCCCGTGCAGACTCATAACCAACAAGACGTACCACTTAGGGTCGACGCCTTGGCGTTGGAAGCAAACGGGTGAAAACGGCTCTTGGGGTTTGAAGAGAACCTTGACATCGTCATAGCCCAATGGACTCTTGGTAGGAGCCCAACCTTGCGATCTGCCCTTGCGAGCAATCTCCTCCGCTAGGTGGTGCCATCGTAAGGTCTCTAAGCAGGTAGCGCCATCCTCGGCGGGGTCCTTGCCACTCATATTCAACCTGTTCTCGGCTTGTATGGTGAATTTGGAGTTCGGGTGAAGGTTGAACTTGCCACTGGTCGGCTCCACCCTTAGGGCAACGGTTTCCGTCGCGCTGAGCTGCATTGTTAGGAATGACTCTCCCGGTTCCGTTGGGGATATGTGCAGAACCATGGCGGCCTCTTGACTAGCGAAGCGTGGCGCCGGACGTAGCTTCTTGTGTATCGACCTCAGAATATGCTCGACATGCTTCGCTATTACTACTTTGAGAAGCTTCTCGGTGGACAAGTCGTTGTGGTCGAACTCGATGTTGGCATCCTTGACCTCTTTCCCATCACGGAACCACTGGACGGCAAGGCGACTGGAAGCCTTAGGATCAGGAGAGCCGTCGGGTTTCCTCGCACTAGCAACCGAGACGATGATCCAGCTTTTTGGCACTGTGGGTACCTGCGGAACAGCGTATCGCGAGTAGGCGGGGACAGACGAAGTATTTTGAGGTTGCCGAGTGACCCAATACTGGATGGAGAACGAACGGTCCAAGGGTTCTATCGCAAGGGTCCGTGTCCAAGAAGTTCGCGCGAGTTCGTAGGCCTGTCGTCTCAGTTCTCCGATCTTATGGCTCAGCACAAACTCGTGGAGCAGCTGATAACAACCTGTGAGATGATCCTTGGCTAAAGCCTCGTTCACATGCACCTCTAGCATAGCTTTCAAACGAGGCGAAAGCTCTCGCGCCGCCGGCGAAAAGTCGAACCTGAAATCAATGAACCAGAATTGCTTCTCCGGGTCCTCGTCCGCCATAGTAAGATCAATCTCGAATTCGCCTTTGACTTTGAACGTCACTCGCCCAGAGCCGATGGAATAGTCCTTGAATTGCCGCGGTATTTTGTCGAAATCCTGGAGGTTCAGCCGCATAGAGAGGCAGGTATCGAGATCTTCAAGCCACTTGACGTGGTCAGCCCGCTTTAGCTTCGGTGGTTCTATGTAGCCGAGCTGGGATGAGTGTCAGCAAGCGGTTTAGAAATTTGGGGGATAGATTTGGCTACTCACATCGGGCATCCAGTCGCCATTACCACAAGAGAGAACCTGAAGCGCAGTCTTCAAATCGGGGCTTGGGACGCGCGCAAAGATCAACCCCCGCTTCAGTTCCACGACTTGCTCCAGCCGGTTATCAAACTCCATGAGCTGATCGTTGAGATGGCTCTTCAAGTCGATCAGCTTGGTGACAAGCTCGCTCTCCCTGCTCCAATTCGCGATAACCAAAGCCTTCACCCATTTTCCATGGATCGACTGGATAAACTGAAGCAAATTGACTTTCTTGTATAGACTCTCATGAGAGTTATCGAACTCGTCCTTGTCTTTCGATGCAGCTGAAGAGTTGCCGTTAACCGCTGACGCGGGAGCTTGCGGTAGAGGCATCTTTGCAAGTTGTTGAACCTTCTCTTGAAGGACATTATGTGTCTGTTGAGCGAGCCGCGAAAGGAATAGAGAAAGAGGTATATATCCTTCGGCGATATGGCGAATCTCATCGGGCAAGCCATTCATCCTCCCCCGCTTGTCGAGAACCTGCTTGGTCGGGTCCATCGGTGCGAAGGATTGGCCGCCACTCTTGTCTGTTGCGTGGTTGGAGGATCCATTTGGAGTATTGGCCGAATGCTTTCCGGAGTCGAGCTGAACCTTCCCAGATCCTTGCACGTTCGCTCCGTTCAAGCGAGGGCTCCTGTCGTGATTCGTGAGAGCACCATTTTCAACGCCAACATCCGTCATTATGACTCCCGGCATCTGGAGGGGCACGACCCTAGGCCGCGACCCAGTCCGATCACTCGCTTCCCTACTGAGGAGCAGAGGATGCCTTCCTCCGGAGCTTTCAGTCGACGCGCTTGATCGGTATCATATACTCGGAGGCGAAGGCGTGTCAAAATTAATCCGAAAATACAAGACGAGAACTAGAAGAAGGGGGGCGAGGATAGGTTGTCGGCAAAACACAAGTTCGTGAAGATGTACGAAAAAGTTGGGTCGAACCTTCCAATCTCGAGTCGCCGAGTGAGACGTGCAAATAAACGGCGTCGGGGGAGTTGTGAAACGTAAAGCGCAAGGCGACAGAGCCGGTTCGTAGAAAGTCACGGTAGCAAAGCAGTCTCGCTCAGTATGGCGCTTTTGGCAAGATGATCGAAAGAATCCGCAGATTGGGTGAAAGACGATGAGAGGCGAGGGGAGATGGGAATGTTCGCCGAGCAGATGTAGCGGTCGCGATCGATTTCGAGGAAGGAAAAAAGGTCGTGCTCGCGTGCTCGGTGAGCTGTACAGTATTGCCGGACGTCGCGCAAATACGGGCGGGGTGGATGAAGCGCGATGGAAGGTGACTTAAGGAGAGAGTCGGTTGTTCATTGAATCGTCAGGAACGCTGACCAGGATGGGCGTCTCGATTTTCCACCCAGCCTGGCCTGGTAACCATTCCCGTCGGTTCGATTTGCACCAAGTCATGTGACTTACTGGAAAAACACCCCGCCACAGTGAGCAATATGAAACGCCTCGCTGTGGCTTTTTTTTCTCGTTGATGACAAAGAATTTTCAAGTCCCCACCCGACGCATGCATTGATTCCACCTCCCTAATGTTCGTCCCCACGTGACTGTGCCCTAGGGGAGTGTTCAATGCGAGTTGAAAATTTTGTGGCTCTATCTAGCCAAACAGGCACACTAATACTCTAACCTCGAAGAAGCATCACGACCTCCCGCTGAGGATAACACAACACACCCGGCAAAGAAGCATCTTCCGATCCTCATCATTTGAGTGCGTGGAAGACTACACAGCCAAGATGCCTACGGAAGCTGGTCACCGATGTAAGTATTTCGATTCTATTAACTTCTCTGCTTTCGCCGCGCCTCCCGTATCCTGTCAGCGTCAATGTCGGTCAAGAATCGCGAAGCTTCACTTGGAGAAGTCGGAGGGCAACTTGGAACACACAAACTAACTGGATTGATTCACAGTATACGTCAAGTGAGTAAAACTCGTCCCATCCCATCTTCTCACGCTGGAACGAACGATATCTACTCGATCGCGATAATTCGACCCCGCCGATTCCAATCAATCAGCCGGACTTGCGACGTGGATTTCGATTATGGCCTCTGGAAGATTGAGGATGGATGGAAGGCTAACAGTTGGAAATCGTATAGGGGTCGCCACCTGAGCTACCAGCGCAGCAAGCACGCCACCAACCCTGGAACGAGTCTGATTAAGATCGAGGGCGTTGATGATACCAATGCGGCCAAGTACGTCGAGAGTGTGATATCCGATCTTGCTAGGACTATCTGAATGCTGACAGGGGGTTTTCAATTAGCTTCTACCTCGGAAAGAAGGTAGCCTACATTTACAAGGCTTCCACGGAGAAGAGGGGCACCAAGATCCGAGTTATCTGGGGCAAGGTCACCAGGCCACACGGTATGGCTCGCCGAACACATCGCACGCCGATGCGCTGGGGAGGTTTTTCAAGTTCCCGTCACTAACTACTCGCTACGTAGGCAACTCTGGCGTCGTCCGTGCCAAGTTCACTCGTCCTCTTCCCTCGAGATCGTTCGGTGCTTCTGTCCGCATTATGCTTTACCCTTCGTCGATATAAAAACAAGGATTCATCTGGTCGGAGTTGGTAGTGAGGATGGTTCATGATTTCCATGCATCGGTCCAGGCAGGGTTCAACTGGCTAGCCTTGCCATAGGCACACAAATTTAAAGTCGTCAAACACCAAAAATGGGTATTCCAGTGAGTGGTGGGGATTAATGTTTGTGACATTGAAAGGCTGCGCCCCTCGGTTGCTCTTGCGCTGTTCCAGGCCCTCGATGCCAGTGTAGGATCACGGACGATATCGAGAGCAAAAAAAAAAAGGGATTAAAAAAAAGCAATGGTCAGAAAACGGTAGATTGGCGTCACAGCTATGGTAGGAGGGAAAAACGCATTGAGCGATGTGATTTTTTTGATGAACCTCAAGCCCCAATATCTGTCCTTTCTTTGTGTTCAGGTTTGACATCCCGATCTCTGAACTGGATGTTGAAGTGAAGCAGTCCTCATCAGAGGGCGACTCGGGGCGTATGTTTCTCACGCATGAGATTGAAGACCCAGCCCGTCCCAGTCGCGTGTGGCCATCCCCCCCCCATTCCAGACATGATGATCTCGTACTTCACGCGTCCAGAACGTGTCTCTGTAACGCAGCACAGAGTTGGAAATGAGGCCGAACTCTGGGCGGGCCGTTGTGTTCCCGATCTCCTTGGAAGATCCAATAGTCTGAACATCCCGTGCGTGACTCAGAAGGATGGTTGAGAGTATTGCTTCGGCAAAGTGCAGGTCAAGACATGATGGCATCCTGAGCGACAACCTTTAGGTGTCCAGAGAGGCATGTGTCACCCAGGTCTACACAGGGAGAGTACTGAAGGATCTCGAGACGGATTAATAGTAAACTACTACAAGACACAGGCCATCAACCCGACCAGCTGACTGCGCGCCGTATGACTCCACTATCGAGTCTTAAGAAAAGAGATCAATGAATCGCCTCCGTGAGATCAACCCTGAGACATGTTGCCGTATAGAGAGGAGAATCAATCCACTCACGTAATTTAGAATTAATTGGGGGTCTCGACTCTAAGGGTCGCAGATATCCCGACGTGTCAAATGGCATCGATGTCTTCCAAAAGAACTCTTGGCCAGGACCCACGTGTATGTAGTAGAATTACACTACATGATGTGTGTGGGACAGCGGACAATCAAGCATATCTTCGGAACGCCAGACTCTCCGGCGGGCGCACCAACTCCCTATCTATACAACCAAGTTGTTTATTTCCACCTGAAGACTGCCACACGATACACTGGTGCCGATTCGGGATGAGACCGAGCTGCGAGTGGCGCAGGACGCAACACTGCCAAGACGTGATGAAGAGGAGCCATGACGATCTCCGCAACCCAAAGTCGTGGGATTGATAAGCTCCAAAGAATGCTGCTAGACCCGGGAAAGCGATGACGAGACGAAGTTATCTGCAGATCAGAAGACCCTGTCTAGGCGCCAGACTACGTACACAGCAGAGAAAAGTGTAGCGGAGTCCACACTACGCCAGCAGTGAGGCCTGTACTTCGTAACTGTACGCCAGTTAGACGGTGCCTGGCAGCCGCTAATATAATTTGATACGATTCTCGTGAGCCCAGGGGTCCTTGCGTATCAGTCCGCTCGCGTCAAGGGATCGAAATTTCGGGAATTTGCTCCATATGAACACCCCTTCATTTTGACAATGATAAGGATTGAGCAGGTTGAGGCGGGTGATTCCTTGAGGATCGGATAAGTATGCTGATAATAAAAGGAACGAACCTGTTCGGTCTCTTCGCCCGCTGGGGAACGGGAACGTGCCGTAGAAGGAGTCAATTGACGGAGAAATGCCTGGCCACCTCGTGGATATTGGGTGGCTATCAGTTGCTGTCCCTCTTCCGAATATCTGGAAACAATCCAGCCCAGCCACATCTCTAGAGACGTGTTGTCAGCTCCGGCTGGTAGGGTGCAGAGGTCTCTGTGGGAGACCCGAACAGCATGAGGGCAGCAAGCAGGAAACCGCCGTTCGAGCGCTAATTGGGGAACTTCAGAAGTATCCAGAGCAAGCCAGAGTTGTAACAAGAAGTACGGGAATCTGGCTTTCACAGGTTGCACAATGTGATGCCTGACACAATTCCCGCCACTCTACTTCCGTTCTGGCGCTATGATAGGGCGGAAACCAACAATTAATTCCTGGCTTTCCCAGGGATGATCTGCCGGTGTATGAAGTCTGGAATGATGGGAAAGTTTCCTTGGTTCTGCGAGGTTCATTGTTCCTTGTTTAGACTGTCCACCCAACAGGGCAGAACCGTCCAAGCGCCTTGATGTTACCGTGGGGTGGGAGGTAAATCCCACCCGCCAGACGCCATTGCTTCCAGCAGATCCGAATCCCGTCGGGAGGGGTTGTCATAATCGTAGGATTTTTGCGGGGCGCCCGCAGTGTCTTGCGCGTTCCCCGTCGTCATCTGGAGTGTTGGAAGCGGATCCTTAAGTCGGAGGCCGAGGCGGAGACAGAACCCGTCTAGTGGAGAAGACTGGAGAAGATCAATTGAAGGCATTTGCGCTTCGGGGCACTCCAGGTTCCCGGCTGGTACCCGTCGCAATAGGTTCGAAGCGTTCATGGAAACCTACTCGGTAGTTTAGGTCACGCACAAAGCCTGTTTGGCGTGCGAAAGCGCAGGTCCCGATTAGCGACACAAAAAGCGGAATACGAGCAAAGTGGCGAAGCTTGATGTCAGTCAACCGGCTCTTATGGCGGATAGCTGCACATCATCAACACCTGGGTGAATTGCCCTCATAGATTATTTCATTCGGTACGAAGCGAATTGCGAAGTATCAAGGGTTGCCTCCTTGGAACCCATTCATTCCCGAAATATCAAGGTTGGGTCTTGATACCTTCAAAGCCCCAGCCCCCCACCAAGACCCATTTGATCTTCCGTCCTGTTCGATGCAAAGTACAACTCTATTTTTTCAAGGTTTTCTGGAGGGCGTATACATTGATATCGTCCTTCGATGTCGAAGACAAGAGCGGGACAAGTCTGGATCAAGACACTCCTTCTCTTTGCCCGGTCTTGTTGACCTGTTGGTCTTGGATCTCGATCTGTTTAATCTGCACGGGTGGACGCTCCGAGTTTGCTGCATGCCAGCCTCCGCCTTTCGTAGTACCTCCATCCCTGCGCTGCTGAAAGCTGCAGTAAGAGGTTGTTAACGAACCGACAACACAGCAGACCAGTCTTTTTGCCATGGGATTTAAAGCACGACGGAGCTTAATCCCGCGGTGTTACCGATTCAGAAGTATCGACACGCATCCTCCCCTCACCAGTGCATGCTTTTCATGTACCTCGATCTGGTTGTACAACATCCGAAGATGGGGGTGAGATCGAAGCACGGTTAAATAAAACAGGGCGACTCAGCCATATTAGTTCCAGGCAAGTCCGGCCGCTCGAGATCCGGGTCACGACCTCAAGTCAAGGTTGAGAATCTTATGGGTAATGGATCCAAAAGGCCAACTTTTTGGTTCTCTTTTAAAAAATTGGTCTTTTCTTTTCCTCGATTTTCCCTCCCGATGTTCTTTTTACACATTGAATGGTATTGACCACAGCGAAGAACCGGTGCTCTGTCAAGAAGTAAACTGGACGTAACAGCCAGCGTGCCAAGTCCCACACGGATTCGTTACAGGATCCAGTATTGGGGTCTTCTGGGCAGGCTTGATACCGATTCAGCTTTTAGAGTTGGGCCCACCGACGACGCAGCTCATAGTGTATACATGTACACGGGAATGTCGTGGTCTATCCAGGACCAGACACGACTGTTAGTGTCCAAGTGGGACAGGTTCTAGTGCGGTTTGGGGGAGGGAAAAATTGGAACCCGGTCTGGAGATGGACAGACAAAGTGGAATTCGGAATTTGAGTTTCGCAAACAAAATTGAGGTGCAATGCCGATCCTTTGAGCCAAAGAACGACTGTAAATAGGGTTGATGACCCTGGCGGATGCTGTCCTGTCCCACCAGGAGCGCTCTGGAGTTGATTGAGGATCGAGCTCTGTGGTCGTCCGGGCCAGAATCCTGAACTTCCTGATCTTTGATCCTACATTTGATGTACATAGGTACAACTGTCCAGTAAATGGCCATCCCGAGGTGCTGATAGCTGCCTGATATCAACCAGTGGGCATAATCGATTGCTGAAACGAGTTCCAACCCCGAGAATTATTCTAAGTCGAATTGGCGGGCGTTGTCCTCTTACATCCAGGCCAGCCACCAGGGTCCCTCGGATTTGTATGCGCACATAGTGTTACCTGCGTATTTCATGCCTGATTCTCCTTCTCCACTGAACACCCCAGCTGGATAGCTACATTCGAAATAGATCAGTGTGTTGCAGCACGGAGCGCCTTAGGATCAAGGTGAAAATTGATAATATTAGAAAATGGGGATGGAGACATCAACGCTGCGAGACACCAAACCCTCGAGTGAAAGGTTGGGATTCTTCGCATGTAGGAAATACTCACATTAGTGAAGCCCCAAACATCTACTACTGAGTACTGAGTGAGATGGGGTTGGTGAAAAGGTAGTTTATTTCATTCTGGCTACTTCGTACACCCCTTTGTAATTATTAATGATCAACCCTTCCAAGGCAGATATGTACTCGTTATAACTGGGTTATTGTGTTGTCAAGATCGAGACCGGTCACGACGAGGGCAAATACGTCTTCCTCTTCCCTCTACCTTCCTCGGCAACCGAATAAACCACTTCATGTGGACGAAGCACGAAGTATTATTTAGTTTAGTTCAATGTTCCTTGTGTTGGAATAAACATTTTTATAGAGTTTCTCCACGTGCGGAAGGTCAGGGCTGGTCGTGAATCCAGTATGGAGGAAGGAGTCGTGTACTTAGGAGTGTAATGTACACTAACACTTCGGACCCGTACTTCACAGAAGTACTTGCAAATGCGTGGAAAGCAGGCGCAGCCAGTCGATACTTTAATGTACTTTTAAGCAGGCAATATATGCTGAAATTTGGGTTGAACTTATGTACTCCCTATCTGGGAATGGTCCCACACGTGTGCACCACATCTTGGAGGGGTGGAATGATGGAAAGTGCGCCTCGTATTCGATCGCAGACGCCGTCAGAATAATGGAACATCCGAACCAAAAAAAATTTTCCTAGCCAAAACAAGATCCCTCGACCTTCTTCTTTACTCGGAGTCCATTGGGCCTTCTACATCAATTACTTTAAAAATTAGTCTCTTCTGATGCTTGCTTCATCAACAAGACTTTATGAAGACCATTTTGATGCCCTTCCCACTTGCCAATCGGCACCCCACCACCGAGGAGAGTAACTAGTAGTATCCGCCCGACTAGACTCAGGAACTAAAGACGAGGGTGCCTGGATTGGCTGCTGTAGCGATCTGCAACCCACGCTGTACTTCGTAATGTACTTCGTACGAAGTACTACACTACATTATGCCAGTATGTTCTGCCACGGTAACATCGGCCATCGCTGGGAATTTTACTACAGGTTACGCTGCCTGGCCCGCTGCCAGCCTGAAAGCAATGAATGACTACCGAATGCAGTTAGGGGACACAGCGAGCTCCGAGGTCTGACATCACACCTTTGGCAAGATGAAACCCGTCAAACAAAAGAACAGACCTTGGTCACTGAGCTATTGATGTCAAGTTTTTTTCCTTTATCAATTATCTTGTGCCCTTCAGAGCTGACAGTACGGAGTACCCCCGGGTCCATACTTCGCTGCTGGGACCGGACCAACGGGATATTAATGGCATCCGATTTCACCAGACGTCACATCCCCCAGTTGTATCACCTATTCTTTTTGGGCGGCGGGTAGGAATCCTGTTCATGTCTGATACCCAGTGAACCGCCACACGCTTCTGGACTTCTGAAACAGCATGTGAGAAAGACTACTGAAATTACAGTTTGCGAAGCGTCGGCTCAGTTTAGCATCAGCAATCACCCGCCACGACAATTGGAGCACGAGGACCTCGCTGTTTCCAGGTCAAAGGATATCCGTCACCCTTTCCATTCTACTACCGAGCTAGCTGTCACCGCTTCGTCTGCTGAGTACACGGTACAGCAGCAAAGAATTTGGGTATCTTACACAGTTGACACCGCTCTTCGCAAAACGCGGGACTTAGCGAGACTTAGCGAGCACAAGGCGGCTCCTTTCTCTATTTAGCATTTTCATCTCCTGCAGATTACTCCGAACTGTCCCAAGCTCGAGAAATGTCGCAAGACCCGAACAGACGTGCTTGACAGATAGGACAGGAGAATCGCAGGACGACTGAAGATACGAAGTATTGGTATAAACAGCCTTTCGGCTTAGAACCTTGTCCCCTCGCCCTTAATGACCTTTATGTACAGCAATTTACCTGGCACGGCTCTCCGTCCAGAACTGTGGTCTCCGAACTTTATCTGCTATCGAGAAGTAAACCGTGGCTCCTCTCTGATCGACGCCTCGCAACAGCACATCATCACCCTTCTTAGCCGGAAATCCCACTTTAAGCGCAGGCCAATCTCAAAAAGTCTGCGCCGACAAACCGCCGCATATTGTGCCCAGGGGTCGTTGCAAACATTTATTCATACAGGTCCAACTGTTCCTGATCTGATCAGCGCTACTTGGCATTTGCTGGGCACCTTCAGTTGGCGGCAGCACAGCCAACAGTGTACATGGATGGGACTGCCAGGGTCTCGCTCCACATCCTCAATGTTCCGGCGCACCGAGAACAGACGTAGTGTAATCTAATAATCTATCAATCAATATTGAACACCTCGTCAGATAGCCCAACGGCCAATTCATCCAGGACACTGCCCAGTCGCTGTCACTCCACCCCACACACTGACGTGACTGCCCCGCTAACAAAGAGCACCCACCGACGCAGCGATGGTGATAGTGATGGTTTCCCACGAAGTGAGACTGTAGAATACGCGGACAAAGTATAAGAAAGAGGTAGTGACAACTCGGGGTCTCAGCCCGTGGGCCACCGGATTGCGCGGAAGTACAGAGTAACACGCAGACTTGTAGTTGGTCCCCCTGCCACTTGTACACGAGGAAGTACCACTATTGGAGTGTGGGATGGAGTCGTGGACTCGTAATACCCTGAGAGGTACGAAGGTACTTTGTATACACCCCACCCCCTACCCACCAGCTCCTTCTAGCGCACACCACCCCCTGGGCGTATACGAGTGCTTGGTTACGTCCAGTCGTACCAATCAATCCCAGCCACACGAGACGGCCCTGCCTTGTTCTGCACTGATTCTGCGACAGCCCAGGTCCCCGACTTACGACCTAGCATTCGAGTCCCCCGGGCTCCACCTGCGCTGATAGCACCATCAACAATTGAAGCGGCATTGCATCAGCATCCGAGCCCGCAGCCTAGCCAACCTCGTCGCACCCTCGTCCACTCTGGTACCACTCCATTTCCACACACACATCACCTTATACACCACCTCCTCGCGAACCTGGAGTTTCCATTCCCCGGGCTAGTTTCTCGATCTTTCAATCCCCATTCATGCCTCGAACATTGAGAAGTGAAGGGCCCCTCTTTGACCATTTCATCACCCCTGTCATTCTTCTCTCGTGACATCAAGACCTGAAAACGATTGGTCTCATTCAGCGTCATCGTTTCTCGACCGTTAGAATAGAGCTCCTAGCCCTCTCCTGCCTGATTGCATCTTTCAGCATCCTTGAACTTTTCCGTCAGACGTTTGTATCTCCAGCAACCATCCGCCGAAGAACAGGACAAGCCAGAGACTCAGCATCATTATCGCACCTCATCGACGACACTCACTCACGGCTCATCTGAGATGGCGGCTGTCGACAATGCAGCGCGGTCCGCCAGAAATGGCCGCCACCGGTCCTTCAGCTTCCATTCTGACAGGTCGAGCAAAGGCCCCAAGCTGGTCGAGACATCTGCGGAAAAGGAATCGCACCGCCTCCACAGCAAGGCCGACCCCACTATGGCCATTACAGAAGCTGAACCAGGTATGAATGCGCCTTCTCACGAGTTCCCCGTGTGCTTCTCAACCGGCGTCGACAAGAAAAGAAAGGAGGGTGGCTGACATTCAATGAACTTAAAAAGCGGCCGTGCAAGCGACAGAGAAAACATCATTAGCACCTCTTCGATCTATCCAACACAAGGATATCTATGGCAATCCCATTGGTGGGTCTACCATCACATTTCTGATGGCTATCCAACCCGACTAACATCATCTCCACGCAGCCGAACCTGACAAGTCCAACCCCACACGCAACCGATGGGAACGACCTCTAGACACGATTCGCAGCTTTGAGGCCGCCATCGACGGTCCACAGCGAAGACCGCCAATGGCTATTCCTCAATCAGGTGGGCATAACATATGGCATATCATGTCACCCCGTTCTAGACTAACAACGTGGACAGAGGCGGACTGGAACAGAAGAGGGAGTTATTACGGAAACCGAAACTATGCGTCTAGCCGAGCCCCGAGCATGCTTTCCGTAGGAAATGGAAACAGGTATCCCCAGGACAACTACTACGGAAGCCGTCCAACATCCCACTTCGAGCCGAGACCTTCCCCGCCTGCGAGGGATAGCTACCACGAAGCGCAGCAGTATGGAGGATACGGGCCTTATAACGGCCAGGGAGGTTACAATCCACAGGGAGGTTACAGTCCTCAGGGAAGCTACGGTCCGCAGGCAGGTTACGGTCCACAGGGTGGCTACCCTAGTGGAGGACCCAGCGGACCATATGGGGCCAGACAACAACGAGCGCCGAGGATGCAGTCGGAGCCGCAGCTCAATTACAACAACCGGAGGGAGACGAACGGCGTTTATCCAGTTCCACATAGAGACCGGTCTTACGAAACGGTAACGACGGCAAGTGGAGGAGGCAGCAGCGGAGACCAGGGCAGTTATCAAACCGATCCCAGCAGCGACAATGGATCTGTCGACCGAATCTCACCTACGAAGCCGGCCCCTCCGCCTACGCAAGATTATGGAATCGGCTTCAGCGGACCGGCGGCATATCAGCCGGCGCCATTCCCATTCGGCGCCGACGGAAACAACGCGGCGATACAAAAGAAGCCTGTTCCAGGAACACTGGGCAGTACGCTACCGCCCGCGATACCTCTAAAGGATAATGTGATGACGCCTCAAGCAAATCTCGCCCCAGCCAAACCTCAACCGGAGAAGAAGAGGAAAAGTTGGCTCTTTAGGCGGTTCAGCCGGTCGTCATGACAAGTCAGGAGTTATTCAACGGTGATTTGAATCATGGGCTGGAGTTTCACGGAGTTTTTCTTAATTCTTGTTACCCCCACTATCCTTGACAACATTCCGTTTCTGTCCCTTTCTTGTCTTCATAGTCCTATATTTTTCCATCTCTCTCCTTTTCATTTTGTTTTGTATTTCTTTATGTTTTATTTGCGATACCCTGATGCCGGACGAGTTTTCGATTGCGATCGGCTATTCTTCAGCACATCCATTTGTCGAGATGAGAGATTCTCGGATACTCCCGATTCCGAACGAGCCCACCCTCCTAACTATGCATACACGAGAGCGGCACGAGCGATACTCGCAACCTCCTCTTTACGCATGACGAGATTTTACAGCCTGGCAATCTCACACCGGGGAAGGCGTGATTTCTGTCGAGCCTGGCGGAGACGGAGACGGCGCGGTTACCTCAACTACTCACTCAGGCATGGAAAGCGGGGTTTTGGAAAGTTCATGTCGGATATATACTACGGTTTATAGAGGTCATAAAAGGTCGGAAACTATCCTAATGGAAAAGGGGATAGCATCCTTTTAAGGGAACGGGAACACACGAAAGCGTTGGTGGGCGGCGGCACCATTCATCTTTTGGGAAAGGGTTCGAGTAATGCTATTGATGTTCATTGGAAAATTAACAGCAAAGCGGGAAAGGAGGAAACACACTTTTTTTTTTCGATGGGGAGAGAGGTGACGGTGGTCACAAGCACTAATTGTTCCTTTCTGAAACGCGAGGTATAACACCTGCACCCACGCATCCGCGGGAAACAGCTCTACCCGCTCCTTTTCTTTTGTCGAGACAGCCTCAGGCAGTATAATACATGGCGCCAACTGGGCGAAGCGTTTACAGACGTAAAATACGACTTGGACTGGCCATTGTAATGGACGTGAGACTTTTCGAGGAGCTGTGGGCAAGTCGAGAAGCAGCAAGAAAACACGACATCGCAGAACTCTCCAATATGGACAGGCAACGACGGAAGTTAGAAGAGAAAGATCAAATTAATATTACACGCAACAGCAGGGTATAGGAATGTAATACACGACAAAGCCAGATATAATTTTACCAGAAGTCGCCAGGTAACCTTTTTTCCCCTCTCCCCTACTTTCTTTTCCCAGCCACACCATGCTTGAACCCCCCGGTCAGCGATCCTTTTTACCCTCCGCCTTCTCCGCCTTGGGCTGTCGTAGATCGCTCTGATCTTCCTTCATGGCCACGACGACGTAGCCAATGAGGACGACGTTAGCCATAACTGCGGCCAGCGCACCTGCAAACGTGGAGTTTCCTGTTGATTGGGTTTGGGTTATTTAGGTTCAGCTGATGTGTCGTTTACAAGGAGACGGGAGATTTTGCCCATGCAATTCTCTAGAATTGCGACGTATGGAGATCACTTTAACGGAGAGTTTAACTGCATACCTTTGAATAGAGTGTCTAGTGAGGCGTAGTATGAGCCTATGGGGAGGACTACCATGGCGAGGGTGAAGCCGAGAAGCTTCACGATGACATGGCTGTTACGGACACGGCCAAGAACTAGTTGTTAGTTCTTTTTTTCATTTGCACTTTCTGTCCAGAGCTGGACTGGAATGGATGGATGAGTACATACGTGGGCACGGCGGGGCTGATGTTGGATGGTCCGCCTACGTGGTCATCCTGATCGAGAACGGTCTTCTCGGAGATGATGCGAGACATCGTAGTAGGTGGATAGTCGATTTCCGGAGATCGTGGCAGCCTGGTATTATTTGGGGGGTGGGCTTCAATACACAAGATTTTCGTGTCTGAGTTGCTCGGGTTAGTACGTGTGTTGGATAGGTTGCTTTGAGTTGTCGTAGGAACTTAAACGTTTCCAGATCTTGGGATTGAGATGAATGTGATGTTGGCAGTTTCCGAGAACAGGCGGACACAACCGATCATGTAGAAAGCATGGGAGACGGAATGGCGACCTTCAAGATTTCAATACCAACTTACATGTTTATCTAGTTTCAACTCTCGATGATAATCTCTTTGACGGAAACAATCAAGTATCAGGGGGTTGTGCTCTCGAGATTCGATTGAGTCGTTCTTGTTCCAGCACTTCGACAGCTGGACTCACACACTGGCTGGGATCTGTTGGTTAGCGACGTCACAGGCATATAAATCACGTGACAGCGTGTCCGGAGTGATGAGGGGCGACTATCTTGAGCAGACGCGTTAGGGCGTTTGTCTTAATGAGCTGTGCCTAATAATTGGGAGCTAGCGTTCTTTTTCCCTAAATCTGCAAGTCCTCCAGCATCCTCGCCTCAGAAACGCTTGGGGATAGTCGAGACGCCATTGTAGCGACCCAATGCCTCTCCCACTCCATTTTGGCGTTATCCCGTACTTGTTATAGACCTCTATTTCTCTCCATCAGGACCATCGCCCCTGCTCCTTCCCCCACACTTTTGGGCCCACCGCCTCTTTTTTTTCCTTGGGTCTGGTGTATGGCGCTTTCCCCAACCAACCTCCTTTCCTTTTGAATCATTCACGTTTGAATAGAGTGAATGTAACCGCGCTTCAAACGCCATCGAACATCTTCCGCGCCTTATAGTCAGAGAGCCGTTTTTATTCATTCAATAGCAAAAGCCACCACTATAATGGCGCAAGCGTCGAGCCTTCCCTCAGCGCCCGGCATCATCCCTGCCACGCCGCCCCGGGCTCTGCTCTATGATTCCGACCTCGACGAGCTCGGCGACGAACGAATTCCCGGCACATCACCCTACATTACCCAACCCACCCAGATAGTCTCGAACCCGAACCCAAAGCTTCTGAGGAAAGCCTCTCCCCGACGATCATCTCCCGAGCCCATTCTGTCTTCCTCTCCACCTCGACCTCCCCAGCTCACCAAGCAGAACTCGAACTCTTCGGCGGGCCTTCCTTTTCGAAACCAGCCCATCACCAAATTCTTTAGTCGTCCTCTACCCATCAGCCCTCAGAGACTCGCCTCCTCTAATTCGCAACAAATGGCAAACGGCAATCCGCCGAGGTCGTCGATACCTCAAAAGAGGAATTCTGATATAATTGCACTCTCTTCGGATGACGATGAGGATAGCCTTGTTGAAGATCGCGCTGATATCATACCCACAAATTTCTCGCGCAAGGTAGTCCCTCCTCCGCCTTCGGCCCCCTGCTTGTTTCTCCCTCCTGTTTCAGCTCCCCCAGACCAGGGCTGCAGTCATCCTTCGGTTCCATTGCTTCCTTCACCTATGTAGCTAACCCGCATTGTAGCCCAAGCCCTCAATCCCCGAGCCCAAGCCTAAGGAAAAGCCCAAGGCGAAACTGATCGATTTTGAGTCTTTTAAGTACAAGGGTCAGACAAGACCAGCTCCGCCAAGCAAGGCTTCCACAATGCCATCCAAACGCGGAAATCGGGCGAAGAAGAACGTTGTTCTCGATAGCGACGAGTCTGAGGAAGAGGAAGAGGAGGAGGAGGAGGAGGAGCCGATAGTTCCCCGCCGCCGGAGATTAATGCGCGGTCTGCGGCCCGGCCAGGAGTCTCAGTCAACGTTATCCTCTCCCCCATCCTCCTCTCGCGATTCGTCCACCCCAACATCGTCGCAGAGGTCGACCAAAGCGACAACCCCCGAAGTACCCATCACGATATTATCCGATAGCGATGAAGACGAATTCGACTCTAAAGAGGACGACACTCCCCGCACCGATGAAGATGTGCGCCTCCTTAAGCTCCTAAATGATTTGGATCTTAAAGATCTGGCTGCCTTGACAGGAGCGCCAGAAGCCGACCTCAAGCTCTTGATTAAGAAGCGCCCCTTCGCTTCGATCGCTAGCGTCGAAAGCGTTTGCAAGATAAAAGAAGGCCGCGGAAAACAGAAGCGCCAAAAGGTCGAGATCGGCGAAGCCATCATCGACAAGACGCGCAACTTCATGAGATCCATCTCCATGGTGGACAAGGTCGTCTCGGAGAGCGAGGCGCGCGCGGCGTTTATCAAGAAACAGCTCGATTTGTGGCACATCGACGCCTACGGTCAGAAGAAGAAGGGGAAGAGCGCGAGTAGCGGTTCCGACTTTGTTGATAAGCAACCTTCGTCCATGTCTAAGGAAACCCCGATGCATGACTTCCAAGTTTTTGGTGTCAATTGGATGAATCTCTTGTTTAAAAACAGCTATGGCGGCATCCTCGCAGATGACATGGGTCTCGGTAAGACGTGTCAGGTGGTTGGCCTACTGGCTCGGATGTTGGATGACTACGACAACGAGGTCACCAAGGACTGGCCGTTCCCTAATCTCATCGTCGTTCCGCCGTCTACTCTGGATAACTGGATCCTCGAGTTTAAGAAATTCGCGCCGGACCTGAACGTCATGAAATACAGCGGTTCCCGAGCTGAGCGAGATGACATCGCCGAGGAGCTTGCGGAGGACCCGGAACATTACCATGCCATTGTGACTTCCTACACCCAGTTCTCGCAAAAGGAGGACCTGCGCAACCTCAACTCCCTGGGCATCAATGCGGCCATCTTCGACGAGGGACAAATCCTCAAGAACCCGACGACTCTTCAGTACGGACGCCTACACCAGCTACGAACAAAGTGGCGACTACTCATTTCTGGCACGCCGATCCAGAACCACTTGATGGAGATGATTTCGCTGCTCAACTTTGTGGACCCCGAGCTGTTCAGGGACAGGATGGAGGCGATCCGCTACGTGTTTGACCACAAGATTCATACACGAAACTTGACGAACACCGCTCTACTCTACGGAGAGCGAGTCAGCCGCGCGCGATCCATCTTGGAGCCATTCATTCTACAACGACAAAAAGATCAAGTCGGCCAGAATCTGCCGAAGAAGACGCATTCAATCATCTATTGCGACCTTCCCCCTGCCCAGAAGGAGGTGTACGACAAGTATGAGAAGATGTTCCGGACTGAGCCTAGTGCGCGAATGAAGGAAGCCGTGGGTGCGCGTGGCAATGATATGAATAATGTATGGATTCAGCTCAAGAAGGCTGCTCTGCACTTGCAGCTGTTCAGGCGGCACTTTTCCGACGAGACGACGGAGGAGATGGCCGACATCCTATTCAATAGAGTCCCCTACAAGGAGCTCGACCTCGCGGAACCCAAGATTCATCTTCTTCTACAGGACCTCAAGAGCCGGTCAGATTTCGACCTACACCTCTATTGCCAGGACTTCCTACCGCTGCTACGAAAGTTCGACGTGCCGAAGGGGTCGTGGAAGGAGAGCGGCAAGATCAAAAAGCTGCTGGAGCTGATCGAGGGTTACCGCAAGAACGGTGACAGGGTTCTCGTGTTCAGCAAGTTCACCAAGATCATCGAGATCCTATCGTACGTGCTTTCGCACGACGACATCGAGTACTGCATGCTCACAGGCGCCAGCGCCGTCGGCGAGAGGCAGAAGGAAATTAACAGATTCCAGAAGAACGCCGACATCCCCGTATTCCTGCTGACGACGGGTGCGGGAGGAACGGGCATCAACCTGACGGGCGCCAACAAGGTCATCATCTTCGACATGTCGTCGAACCCCCAGGACGACCGGCAGGCGGAGAACAGGGCGCACCGCCTGGGCCAGACGAGGCCCGTGGAGGTGATTCATCTCATCGCGAGGGGCACGGTCGAAGAGCTTATTTATAAGGCTTGTCAGAAGAAGATCGAGTTGGCGGAGAAGGTGACGAATGCGGGCGGGGGTGATACGGAGGGTCAGCTTAAGGCTATTGTGAGGGAAATGATGGATGAGAACGACCAGGGCGAGGATTAAGGGTTGGGGATAGATGGCGGTTGAATTCTGTTGCAGAGGACTTGTGGTTGAGAGATGGATGTGTGCTGCTGCATCAAGGGCAAAACTCTTGTTTCCTTTTTACGTGACGAATGATGAACTTTTGCTAAAGGATTCAGCGTGCTAGAGTTAGACGATGGAAAGGAAGAATAGTAGCTAGAGAGGCTATCAGGATGGTATGCTCGCTATATTGGTAGAATGACATGGCCTGGCCTAGTAATTTGATATCATTTGAAGTTATCAAGATCGTTCGTTCTAGGAGTAAGCTATCCAGCAAGTGCGGTCTACAGGAAGAATTCTAGGAGAGTGAGGAAGTAATTGTAGGTTGTTCTGTCAGTACGAGCGTAAGAGGAAGGACAATTGCGCATGGTTTTCATGAGGGAAACTGCAAGATTGGACAAGGCTTGATGAGGAAGCAGGAGAGGATGACCGACAATGGCGAGGGAGCAATGTCGAAGGTTCTAGTGTTAGCTGGAGAGGGCGGCGGGTTCCGCGGTATGTTACACATTGGGATGCCTAGAGGTCTATGTGGAGAAGTAGAGATGATCGATCGGAGTTTAAAGATTGATGGATAGATGGTTGGTCAAGGCTTAAGGTGTTCAACGGAAGGAAACGGGCAGAAGATGGTTGGTAGCACCGATAGGGCTAAGGAGCGGAAGTCAGAACCGTCAAGGTGGAAGTTTTGATAGCATGGCCTGTCTACGATATGCGATAGCCAAAAGGCTTGGCTTAGTTTTTTAGTGGAGGAGGTGTGTTGCCAAGTCGCTTGTTGAGAGCTTTCGGGCTTGGTTCCTTATCTTATCGGAGGCGGGAATTGGAAAAGATCAGTGTGCAAAAAGCTCCGCAATTTTCACCAAATTCAGGTACGTAAGAAGGCAATGCGAGATTCTTAGTGGCTGCAGAGAGGAGTGGTGGGGATAAGGGAAGATGAGAATATTGAAATGTACCCGCGCAGCTGGACTGGCGGAAGGTCTACGAAGTAACTAAGCACACTATTATCCTCCATTCCGGTCTTCGCCGCCGAGGCAGGTGCACAAGCTCAACCGTTACTTTGTACTTCGGACAACCAAACCCCGTGGATGGCACTGACCATTAACACCGATCAACTGATAGTACTTCGTACTTCCGAAGTAATCTAGTCGAGGTCACTGCTACCGCCCTCTCAGGGTCCTTGTGTGGATCTTCCGGTAAGTATGCGTAATTGTAGCATAAGTACGAAGTAGTGTACATACTAGTGGCGTAACCCATTTGATGACAATGGGTGAGATAACGGCCACAGGCCCTTTGTAGAAGTCGAAATTTGACGCTGGTTGGAGAGAGGAAGAAAAATATTGACGCCATCATGTTACTGCAAGGCACAGTGCACTAGACGGCTTGCCCGTCAGCCAGGCCATGCTCCTCCGATGCTCGCTGATCTGAAGTCAAGTATCTCGGAACATGTCAGTCATCATCACCCCAGCCGTGGAGAGTGGAACGGTGGAACTGTGGAACAAGGACAGTCGAGGAATCAAACCACCCCGTGGCCTTACCTCTTCCCCCATACTTGTATGACCCCATATTTACCCACTGAGATGGCAAATGGGTCAATGGCACTAGCCACTCTATCTTGTTAAGACTCCAGCCCTCCTCTCTCTCCCTCTCTTTGGCGTTTGCCTCATCTGCGACCTGTATCAAACTATTTAACTCAGCCCCGGTACCTCGTCCTTATCTCAACGTCAGGCCTGCCTTTCCGAAGCTTTTATCCTCCACCTTTCCAGCTTTCCCCTCCATATTAAACTCTAGTTAAGAGACTTCGATTCCGCCCCCCTCCCCCTTCTTTGTCTGACCAAGGGTGAGTCCTCCTTACACTACTGGTCCGAAACCACGAACGTTGCGCCCGCTGAAAAGCTGCAGAAAAGCAACGCTTTGTGCCGACAATTCCTGATATTCCACCCTCATTCGAAACCGACGTTCCTATACAAGACGCCCGTTAAGCCTTTGTTTTCCTTCTTTCGAAACCTTCTAGAACGACACGATGTCCGCAGAAGTATCCCACGGCCGTGGCGGCGCCGGCAACATCAACGCCGACGACACCAAGTATGTTGATGGCGAGGTTGTCCGCCTTGGTCCCGTGGGAAGCCATGGTGATGGCGCCTACAGCACTGGACGAGGAGGTGAGACCAATTTTTTTCCCCTGTTTCGCCCTTCTTTTTTCACATTTTTTTCTGCTTCTTTTTGGTTGTGTCTCTTCACTCCAAGCAAAAAATCTGTCTCGGACACTCTTGAGGGACACTCTTGAGGAGTTATTCAGACGACGCAGGAGATCAAGGTGGTTTCGATGAGGTACATTCAATTGGTCGCATCAATTTGGTGATTTGGTCCTTATCAGTGGATGGGAAGCTTGGACCGGGCTTGGCTTCTCTTATCTTGCATCCCGCGCTTCTGGTTTCTTGGCTTCACGCCCAACCAACCACATCCTATCCAGCGTCCCATCCCTTGCGATTCGATATCTCCGGTCCACGATGATATTACAACAAGGGTCCAGGGTTTCCAATTTGCGTCGCAGCAGGCCCATCAGCTATCGACACTCCCCTTGCACCAAAACGGAAAGACTAAAAAGAGGATGAACAAGCGCATAAAAAAGTTTGAAAGAATAATGACATCTAATACAAAAATCTAGGTTCCGGCAACATTGGCGACCCTGGCACCACGGCTCCGCGACGCGCCGACAAGGAGGTCGTCCCCGAAGCCGCTGTCCGCCTCAGCTCCGACAACGTTGACTACCACACCGGTCGCGGCGGTGCTGGTAATGAATACGTTGCTTCCGAACACAAGAAGAGTACTTCGGCTGATGGGTCCCCTGCTCCTGCGGCCCAGGAAGCTGCCGAGAAGGAGGCCAAGCCGCCGACGAGCTTGGCTGACAAGCTCAAGCATAAGATTTTCGGGCACTTCAAGAAGTGAGATGTCCCTCTCACGCGACTAGGACGTTGAAAGAGTACGCGAGGATATTGTGGCTTGAGGATATGCCGTCTGCCGTCTGATTACGGAGGAAGCCGTTGTTGGTCAACATGAGCTGAAGCTGGACTCGGGTCCGGCCCGGTCCGGCCTTGGAACAGGTGTGACTACGCACTACAGTTCTTCACTCCTACGCTTTCCGTTCGGTTTTTGTTTTTCGATTTTGATTTTCGCCAGTATAGTTCCTTCGCCCGTACATCGAATGATATCCCCTCACTTGTTGTTTGTTTCGTTCACAATTCTCTCTTCTACTTTTGTTGTGTCCTGGTGCCTTGGTTGTGGTAGGAATGGTGGGAGGGCCGTGACCATAAAATGATAATACAATGCTGTTACGCTTTAGAGTCCATTTAGTTCTCGACATGATTTCCGAGTCCATTGTTTATTGTAGCCGATGAGGAGGCCCGAGTATTGAGATTTCGGATGCAGCTAGCCCGGCCGAGTCAGGATCTTGAGAGCTGAAGGTTCTACATTACTTACCAGATATTTCATAGAGACCGCCCACGAAGCCCGCCTCCCGACATGTTTTCCAGCTTTGACGGCTATCTCTGGCAAGCAAAAGAGTCTCACTCGATCGGGGAACATAACAACGTTACAGGCAAGAAAAAGATCTTCACCAGTCCTCATCTACGCCTATCTCAGAATTCATTAGGCCGAACACTCCTCCCCCTCTATCAGCATTCATTCGATTCAATAATAAGAAAAGGGAAAAGACCAAAAGAAAAAAAAAAAAAAAAAGAATTAGGGCCGGAGGGCAGTTGTCCCGACACATCCGCCCGGTTTCAATCCCTACAGTTTGTGCTCGAGTTAAATTTGTTTTTCACCCTCTCGGGTTCTAACTGACAACCTCCGGCGAACCGGGCCACGAATGTGCGAACTCAAACTGCTGGGTAATGACCGACCCGGAAGCTTTCGATCCTGGTTTGAGTTATGTAGTGTGAGCTGTGAGTTTGGGGTCCTTCCGTTTCTGTGTGCTTTTGTGGGAGGGTGTCGCGACTTCCTTGTTGATCTTGGGTGATATGATAGCATCGTGAAGCACGAGTCTATTTTGTGTTGTAGCACGGGATTATGGGTTCGGGAGCCCTCGTATTGGACCCCTCGAGTCTCCCCTTGCCTAGCTTTGGTCCTCCAAGGTTCCTCTACCGTCGGTCCAGCTGGGGATTGGGACATGGCGCTTCCCGAGCCGAATCATGCAACTGTGTGATATCCCAGACAACAGTTAAGAGGATCTCCAGCGAGGAAGGGTATCGGAATTCGCACGTGCGGCTAGGCTTGTCCATTTTGATTTGACTTGATATTCTTCAACTACCACGGACAATGCCGGAGCCGGATGTTCTCGTTCTGCCATTTTTCCTCCGGTCACAGTTTTCTTCAATCTCTCCATAATCGTCACCAGCGTTCCCAGAAAAGTATGTACAGTTATGCTTTCGTAACCATATCTCGAAAGGTAAAGGCCATCACAAGATATGGAACCCCCCAAAAGCGTCTATTTCAAGTTGCCACGCAGAATATACAACAAACAGAAAAGTACGAACGGTCCCTTTAAGGGGTAATCGCCTCAAGAGCCTGGACTATGGCATTGAACGCCGCCTTGGGCCTATACTGGCCATCGAAGAGGAGAGGGTTGGTATTAGCGCGCCACGAGTCGGGATCGCGAACACCCCAGACGGTAACACCAACGCAGGATTCGACCTCCATGCAGCCCTTGACGACGGTGGCGTAGTCGTTGGCGGGGGCCTGCTGAATGTCGAGCTCGGTGGTGGCGACCTCCTTGACGCCCGTGGCGGCGAGGACCTTGAGGGCTTCGACGTGGGCGCTGGCTTGGCCTGGTGTGAGATGGCCTTGGGAACCTTGTCACATTACTCTGTTAGCACTTCGCTTCTTCTTTTCTCTCTATGTCTTTCGAAGGGAGGAGTGGGGAAGACGCACCAATGCCGTCAATGGGGACGCCGGCTGCGAGCCACTTCTTGACGTGGTTGGCCATGCCGGTGGTGGTCTTGGCATAGGTCGGGCTGTCGAGGTTGTAGTCGTTGATGTAGAGGATGGCATCGGGGTCCGCCTTGCGGGCAGCCTCGAAGGCGATGCGGACGAAGTCTTCTCCAAGGACCTGGGAGAAAACGGACTGGCGGAGAGAGCCGTCCTCGTTGAACATCTCGTTGACGACGTCCTGGCCGCCAAAAACAACCCGGTTAGCTTCGACTTATACGGAAAAACAAAAGCTTCGTTTCTTTCGATTCTACTAACCCAAGCTCGAATCTTGCCCTTCCACCTCCCAACAAGAGCAGCAACATGATCCTCAATAACCTTCGTAAGCTGCGCCTTATCCCTAATATTATTCACCCACCCGGCCAACTGCGAGTGCCAAACGAGCGTGTGACCCCTGACGGTGATGTTATTCTTCTCGGCGTAGTCCATGAGGAAGTCGGCACGCTGCCAACTATACGAGTTCTGCTGGTTGTTGATCTGGTCCCACTTCATCGAGTTCTCCGGGGTGAGCTGGCCGAAGGTGGCCTCGATGACGCCCGTGTTCTGCGCGTTGCTGAGGAGTGACTGGTCGGAACACGTGCCGAAGTAGAGCTTGCCGCGCTCCTTCATGAGCTTGTCGACGTTGGCGATGGCTTGGCGGGGTTCGAGGTCGAGGAAGGGGACGGCGGCGGCGGTGCCGGCCATGAGAAGGGAGGAGAACCTCATGTTTGTGGGTCGGCTTGAGAGTGTGGATGGAAGGGAGACGACGAAGAAGACACGACGAAGGATTTGGATGATAGAGAGACGACCTCTTTTTGCTTTTGCTTTCTTGAGGCTTGGCAAATGAAGAGGATTAGGGTATATATTTAATATTCTGCTTCTCACAGGGCAGCCAAAGCTTTATACTCTGGCGAGACTCAGAACCAGTTCCTCTCCTTGTCGAAAACCCTCACCCCCACCTGTAGGTCTCCCTCCGGCACGCTTTCCTATTGCCCTACTCCACATCTCATGACCCCGTCTCTTTGCCCCGGGAAGTGGCACTACCACCCATTGTTCAATATATTCACATTGAAATTAGAACGGAGGGCGGGGTGATATTGGGGGACAGACTCTCCTAGCAAGTCTAGCCAAAGGCGAGGAGGAACTTGCGCCGTATAGTGGGTATAAGTTGTTAATCTGTGGGAAAAGCGACGTGGAGCACCATCCCCTACTCTCAGGAGTCCCACAACCTTTGATTTGCCTCTTTCTCCTATATCCAGAAGCCTCGGTGGCCACGGCCCGTCATATTAAGAGCTCAATAAAGAAAAAGAGGTCCCGTCCCTGAAGAAGGAAAGATGTGGCTTAGGGAAAATATTGGGGTGCGCACATGGGATACTGCCATCGGGAGTTAAACGATTCTGGGGGCCTCGTGGGGTGCATAAAATGTAGGCAAAGTGTGTTATATATTATAATCGGGACAACGAACGAGATGGTTGGATATAGCCTGAACTGTGTAATATGATATACCCTCATTGGATTTGTTGGATCAGCTCCGTTAAATGGCCTAATCTCATTGATGGACAATATTCTTCCGCGAAAATTGAAATGGGGAAATGCCTTGTGCAAGCGCTCCAGACGGCGGCCAAAATGCCGAGAGCCCTCCGTTCTGGAGTCTGGGGAACCACCCTCACGATGAGATGGCTCTCGGGGAACGACATGCAGCCATACCTCCGAACGGTTGTGGGCGGGTTGCGGGTTGATTATCCTCCGTACCTTCTCCCATATTTCCAGACGCTTTCGGAGAGATGCATACATAGAGGACAAAACTATCCGGTGATGCATATAGAGATGCTGGGGAGGAGGGAGTTGAGAATGTCGAGGAGAGTTCGTCCTTAAACCAAGTATCGCCGAAAGCCAAGGATATCATATAAAGTCCTCTCATCATGCTGCCAAGAGGACCAGACCGCTAACCAGGATTGAGAAAGTTTAGATGATAATAAGACCTTGACCCATTCGAGCGGGAGCCAGAGAGGTCAACAATATTTCATACAATACTGGGCTCGGACGTTTCGGTTTCAAAGGTCCACCTCTAGATCTTACTTGGGTTGGAACTTGTCTCTTCGTTTGCGAAGCGTACTTACACCCTGGAAGTGAAAAGGACTTCTAGAGCGCTCGCCACCTTTTCCAATTCGAAAGTCTCCTCTTTTGCGAAGATGAGATAACATTGAAGTCTTTTGAATCGGCACACCGGTAGTTTGTCTACACCACCCCAACGATGGAGCTTTCGATGGACCCGTAGGACATAAATTACACTCAAACCGCCGAGTTCCGAACGTAGGCTCCGAGATAAAGAGCATTAAACCACGGGTCGTCGCTGGCCCGTCTTTTGTGCCTTTGCTCAATGCAGCGGTAACAGGTTGGGAGGGCAATTTAGGCGACGCCGTGAAGGCGAAACTTTTCGTCCGGCTGGGTGCCGGTTATCCAGTGGAACGGAATTCCTGTGTGTCTAAGTGTTCATCCAATGTTGTCTGAGTGTGTGGTCGGGCCTGTACGAAGTGGTTAGTCTACCGCTAGGCGAGAGCAAGACTTAGGACTGCCAGGCTGCAGTTTACGAGAATATCCTAGACAGAAGCGATGAGAGTGTTGTCTTGACTCCTCTGGGAAATTGGAGCCGCCTCCCTCCACACATCAGATCCTGGTGTGGAGCCCCTATCAATCATAAGGATAGCGTTTAGAACACCCGACAACAACCAATCAAGAAAACTCCCGATGGTCTAGTTGG